CTTCCTTGGAATCTTGGGAACTGCAGTTCAGAAACCAGACTCGGATGGCTCTCAATAGTTCTCTGAAGTAGCTCAAATTGCACAGGGCTTTTAAAGGGAAGGAAGTAGAAGACAGGAATCCAGGCAGCTTACACAGGCTGCTTGCCAGGGAAGGTGATCGGTGCATATCCTAATGTTAGGCTACACAACATAGGCTACATGTAATTGATTGCTAGGACTGTCTCTAAAAGTTTATCTGTGGTATTACAGCTTTGAGTGTTACAGCTGTAACACTCATTAAAGGATGTTTGTGGCTTTTGTAGACTTGGCCTAATTCAAAAGGTCACATTTCTGGGTCTAGTTCAAGAGTTCATATCTCTAGGCAGCAACTGGAGACATGCATAAGTCCTGCTTCCTCAGTGGCCTCCAATTCCATTGTCGATGTTGCTTTTCATCACGATTTTCTTTGGCATTTTACAAGATTATAAATAGGGAACTGAAAAGTCCTATCACCTAGTGACACTGTAACCATGGTAACACTGGAGAGCAACACATTAAGTGTTTGAGGTGATGCTGGCATAAACAAAATGACTGCACAGCCAAACAAGTAGCACATATAATTATGTACAGCACATAATACTTGATAATGGTAATGTGTGGCTATGTTGCTAGTTTGTGATTTATAATACTATACTTTTCATTTTTATTTTAGAGCCTATTCGTTCTACTTACTAAAAAAATTCACTGTACAACAATATGCTGTGTTATGTTGGCAGCAACCTCACACTTTCTGTGTTTATATTGTCTCTTGATTGTATTATTTCTCTTGGTGCTTGATTCAACCTTGTGTCTTTTTTCCACTGGATCTCTAGACACAATACACTGTGCCACCTATATATGTACCATATAGCCCACCAACACTATTTGAGAATACTCCATGATGTTCACAAAACAATGAGACCACCTAACACTATGTTTCTCAGAACATATCCATGCCCTTAACTGTAGTGCGATTGACTCCCTCGCTGTGCTAAGGCCTGAATAATGATGCTTTTCCTGTTCTCATTTTGTTGGTCTTCCTTTATTTCCACCAAAGAAATGGACTCAGGAAGGAGTTTAGCATATAGTATGAAAATGAAAAAATCATGAATATTCATAAGAAACAAGGATTTTAGCAACTCTGCATATCCTGCTGTCCTCCAGCCCTAGCTGGGCCCTCACCGAGTCCTGGGGTGATGAAATCGTTTTACCTCTTTCCACTTCCTTCTTCACATCCCTTCTTTCAGCATGATTTACTCCCAGCCCTTTAACCTGGAAAGGAAAATCTAGAGCTACCATACACCTGGGTTCCACTTTGACCTTTGAATGCTGAATCAGAATCAGGGAGATCTAGGAACCAGATTTAACCTCTCTGATGGAAGCTCCATGAGGGAAGAGCGCATGTCTGTTCACCCTTTACCCTGTGTCCGGTTGAATGACTGAAATCAACATATGGATGCATTTGGGATATCAACACCATAGCTACCTGCAAGGAGACAACCCGGTGACTGACTACATGTTATTAAATGGCCATCTCACTTCCCTGAAGTTGCTGAACTCAGACAGACAGAGGAAACCTATGATCTAAAATACCAAATATGACCCAAAGAGACCTGACACACAGGAGTTGAAGCCTGGACCATCACTCCCTAGTAATTTGTCCTATGGTGCTCAGTGCTTAGTTGAACACAGCTGCCTGTCTAAACTCCATCTTTCTCTTGTGCTCACTGGATAGTAAACATGAATTGCTATTAATAATAATTTTCCACTGCACATCCAGAACAATCCATCCAGAGAAAATTGGAACTTCTTCTTTACTGAGGTCCAGTCCCATCAATTTGATGCTCATTTTATAGAAAGGCCATTGAGCAAAATTAATGTTCCCAAACAAATAGAGTTTGTCCTTGTAACTGATTCAGAGTATGACAGGAAACAAAAGGGCTGCCTTGTGGCCTCCTCAGGGAAATTTATTTTCAGAACATTGAGTTATTTTCTCCTACTTCACCAGATCAGATTAAAATCTTTTTAAAGAGAAAGAATAAGAAAACCTAGTTGTCTATTTTCATAGAAATCACTGTGAGGGCTAGCTTCATTTAAATGCACTTGTTATTATTATCCAAGTCAAATAATCTCGGGTCTATTTTACGTCTTTGCATTTTCCACTTTTTCCATTTCCTTCACACCACCCCCAGCATATTTTACCCTAACCCCTTAACCAAAAAAGAAAAATCAAGAACCACCCCCTGCCTGAAATAAGGGAATGTGGGTTTTAAAAAATCTTGCCAGGAGATAACACTCTGGACAGTGCTATGATTTGAATATGCCCCCCACCCCCCAGGTTCTTGTGTTGTAAACCTAAGATGAATGGTGCTTGGAGGCAGGAGCAGGGGCTTTAGGAGGTCATTAGAGTAGGATCAGATCATGAGGGTGGGGCCCCATGATGGAAATAGTGGCTTTATAAAAGAAAAAGGAGGGGCCAGCGCCATGGCTCACTTGGTTAATCTTCTGCCTGCGGCGCCTGCATCCCATATGGGCGCTGGGTTCTAGTCCTGGTTGCTCCTCTTCCTGTCCAGCTCTCTGCTGTGGCCCGGGAAGGCAGTGGAGGATGGCCCAAGTGCTTGGGCCCCTGCACCTGAATAGGAGACCAGGAGAAGCACCTGGCTCCTGGCTTCAGATCAGCGTAGCTCTGGCCATAGCAGCCATTTGGGGGTGAACCAACGGAAGAAAGTCCTTCCTCTCTGTCTCTCTGTCTCACTGCTAACTCTATCAAATAAAAAAGAAAGAAAGAAAGAAAGAAAGAAAGAAAGAAAGAAAGAAAGAAAGAAAGAAAGAAAGAAAGAAAAGAAAAAGGAGAGAGGCCTGAGCTAGCCACTTGCACTCTGTTGCCATGTGATGCCCTCTGCCATGATCAGAAGCAGCCAGAAAGAAGGCCCTCGTCATCAGCCACCACGCTCTTGGACTTCACAGCCTCCAAAGCATGAGCTAAGGAAACCTCTCTTGTTTACGAATTACCCAGTCTGGGGTGTTCCTCTACAACAACAGGAAATAGACTAAGAGTCCCTATTATCCAAAAATGGTAGTGATGTTTTTTCTGCAGTGCTGGACAGGTCAGTATGTTACCTGCCTACTCTGTCTCTGTGGGAAACACGAGCTGTCTTCCATGCGAACTGCCTGCCTCCTGGACTCCCCCGTCACAGCCAATGGCTGTGAAAACCAGTCCGTGGGCCATGCATGGAAAGCACTACCCCATAGGTAAGATAGCAACAAAAGAAGCCAACAAGAGCACCTTAGTCGGAAATTAGATTCAGAAAATACAAAGAATCAGCTGGGTAGAAGGCAGAAACCCTGAACACTTGAAAAAGAAGGCATGAGCGAAGCTGCGTCACTAGGAAGAGCAGCCTCAATGCAGGGTGACATGGACACGGTGAGTTGTTGATGGGGAGTAGCAGAAGTACAAACGAGAGAAGACAGAGTTGTGTCCACAGGATGGTGGGGAACTTGTGAACTTTTACAGCTAAGGGGTCTTAATCAAAACTCTTGAGAATGAGGGATCTCTGAAATAAAGAGTTTGTTGAGCTATTACAGATGATAGCCAGAAAAAGAAAGGATTAGTTCCCAGGACAAGTTCTTGCAACTTCCAACAGCAAGGCTGAGTAGCAGTTGGAAAGTGTTTGCTAGACCTATAACTGTGTGTATGTTTATAAAAAGGGAAAGGAAAGCTTAAGTTGCTGAATCTATAATGGCTCTATATGAAAGGGGCCTAATAACTGGAAATGGGAAAGGTTTGGGGTAGGCAGGCAGATCCTAAGAAGCACTGTTGTTTTGGGATTGGTTGGGGTTAGAGTCTGAAAAGTTTATATGTAAGCAGAATGCAATGGCCTTAGTAGTCAGCAGTGATGGGATTTAAGTCAAGGTTTTAACACCTTCAGAAATATGAAGTAGTGGGGCCAGCGCTGTGGTGCAGTAGTTTAAAACCCTGGCCTACAGTGCAGGCATCCCATATGGACATCAGTTTGTGTCCCGGCTGCTCCACTTCCAATCCAGTTCTATGCTGTGGCCTGGGAAAGCAGTAGAAGATGGCCCAAGACCTTGGGCCCCTGCACCCATGTGGGAGACCCGGAAGAGGCTCCTGGTTCCTGGTTTTGGATCAGCTCAGCTCTGGCCATTGTGGTGGATGGAGGATCTCTCTCTCTCTCTCTCTCTCTCTCTCTCTCTCTGGCTCTGCCTCTCTCTGTGACTCTTTCAAATAAAAAAAAAAATCTAAAAAAAAAAAAATATGAAGCAGTGCTTTTGTTGATGTCACCCCTGTTAATTAACTTTCCTTATCTCTCCCCCCCTCCCACTCATCTGCAGGCCCTCATAATTAAATTTAAGACATCTCAGAAAGTTCCTTTTGGGGCCGGTGCCGTGGCTCACTTGGTTAATCCTCCGCCTGTGGCGCCAGCATCCCAGATGGGCGCTGGGTTCTAGTCCTGGTTGCTCCTCTTCCAGTCCAGCTCTCTGCTGTGGCCCGGGAGCGCAGTGGAGGATGGCCCAGGTGCTTGGGCCCCTGCACCTGAATAGGAGACCAGGAAGAAGCACCTGGCTCCTGGCTTCAGATCAGTGCAGCGCGCCAGCCATGGTGGCCATTTGGGGAGTGAACCAACGGAAGGAAGACGTTTCTCTCTGTCTCTCTCTCACTGTCTAACTCTATATGTTAAAAAAAAAAAAAAAAAAAAAAGTTCCTTTTTTCAGGGGCAAAGACAACCTAGTTCCTGGTCTGACTTCTGTGTAGCCTAGTTAGATGGCACTTCCTGTGACATGACCTTTCTGTCGTTCTTATAATTATTGATAGCTTTTAAGACAGCAACAAAAACATCTATTACTTATAGGAACCTGCATGTAACTCTTTTTTTTTTTAATATGAAAGAGTCACACACAGGCACAACTCATACATGGACACACACACTCACATGCCTTATCACTTCTGGAGGAGCCTAATCTTTCAGTACACATAGGAGTAGCAAAGTAGAGAGGTGTCCAGATTTGCAGGCAGAGGTTGTAAGTTCTAATTCAGCTCTGCTACTACTTGTGGTAGAATCACAGATAAATGAACAAGATGCATTCATTAGGTTAATATTTGGAGTGTCTACTATGTGACAGGTTCTGGGCTGGCTAACAAAACATAACGGTGAACTACGTACAGTTTTGGCTCTCGGGCTCATGTTCTAGTTGGCAGTGCAGACAGATAAGCAGCTTATTACAAAACTGTGTTATGTTACAAGTGGAGAATTTGTTTGGAGCCAAAAGTGGTGCACCTACTGTGGCTGGGGCAGGGAGCCCTCCCAGAATCTTCCTGGGAGATGGAGACCTGGATAAGCAAGAGTTGGTTCAGCCCATGGTGGGCAAGGATAGGCAAAGAGCAGCTCCCAGGACAACTTCCGACAGCAACTTCTGAATGGTCCATCTGGAGGTTTTATTGTTATGTCAGTTTGGTTAGGCTACAGTGGCTACTTAAGTAAACACTGATCCAGGTGTGGCTGTACAGACACCCTGTAGATGTGGTTAACGTCTATAATCACTTATCTTTAAATCAAGGAGATCACCCTTCACAGGGCAAGTTGGCCTCATTCAGTCAGTTGAAAGGGGCAAAGAGCAGTAACTGGGGTTTCCCAGGGAAGCAGCTCTGCTTCAGGGCGGCAGCACCAGCTGAGTCTGTGGCCTGCAGACCTGAACTTGCCCGCTAACACAATCACAGTGAGCCAGTTCCTGAAATCTTTCATATCCTGTTGCTTCTGTTTCTTTGGAGAACTGTGACTGATAAGCACAAGCCCTCAACATGGAAAGGAAGCCGGAAGGACGGTCTTATGATTAATGAGGAGGGCAGGTGCAGAGCCCGCTTAGCCTTGTAGCCCCAGGTACATTTTTTGGTGATTTAGTCCATGTAGCACGGGAAGCCACAGAAGCTGGAAGCAGAGGAGGAACATTATTGGAAAGGAAGGTTGGGGCGATCTCTCTGGCTGCTTTACAGAAAATAGATTTGTGCTGGGAGCCCAGGCTAACACCTTCAGTTGCTTGTACAGTATTTTCCTCCACTACGTCTTACTTCTGACAAAATTGTAGTTTTGTGAAGATGCCCATCACTCTTCAAGTGACTCATATTCCCAGCTCAAGGGATAAATCCCGATTGGTCCAAATCAATACAATGGTCTAATTCTTCTTGTTAGTATTGGTTCAGGAAATTCATCATGGGGTTCTGGAAACTGGGGTTCTAATCTTGAGTCTTCTCCTTGCCAGCAATAGGAGTGTGAATAGGATGAGTGATTTCCTTTTTCTGAATGTCCGTTTCTCTATCTATAAGATGCAGATGGTAAAACTGGCATTTCAGGATTGGAGTAGAGATAGAGCTGAGATGAAATAAGTGTATGTCTTTGGAAGTCATTTCCTTATAAATGCTTGGTGCTATTGTTGTTCATGATTCTCCTCTTCTCTGCCTTTCACATCAAAAGAACACATATACTTTGTTCTGGAGGTTATTCCCAGATTATAATAACGGGAAACTAGAGACAAAAGCTCTGGGAAAAGTCAATCCAATTCAGTGCCACCATTTTTCCTGAATCATCAGGCGTAAATTAACTTCAACTTTCACTAGCAGATCATGTACTTTCTGATTAAAATATTCACTATTTTTTTTTAAAAAATGCATCTATACTGAGAAGGGAAACTGCCATATCTCACTGTCCATATTAATTAACACAACCATTCCATTGTCTTCAGTAGCATTATTTACTATTCCACCAGACTGTTATCCAGACAAATAACTCTATGTTCATAACAGGAACTTCCTGAAAGACCTATCAAAGCTTCAACAAAAGGCATCAGAAGACAATCTGAACCCTAAACATTTTTGAATCTCTTGTCTCCAATGTCCTTCTTTTGGCTCTTCATCAATCTTAATTCAAACCTAGTCTATGCCCTGCATTGCAGGATCTACTTTAAACCAAACTTCCAATCTCAGTAAATCCTGACCTTGCCCTTCTTCCTCTCCACCCCTACCTTTCTCCTCCACCACCAACATGGTGATCTTTCTTACCATAGTAAGCAATAAACTCTCCTTAGTCTCAATGACAGGCTGTGTGCAAAAGAGTTAACAGGCTCCCTCTTCAAGCCTCCAACACAAAAGCGTCATGTTATGCTTCCTCATTGTTCTCCAGAAAGTTTCCCCGTTTTATGCTTTAACAGTGGGTCTGATCAGATTTCTTAGTCAATGCATTTTTAGGACAGGGCTGTGCATGCACAGAGGGAATCCAGAGCACAGAACTAGAAGTCACACAACCTAGGCAAGCGCCAAAGAAGGAAAATCTAACTGGCAGGACCACAGATGCCACAGGAACCTTGTGACTTGGGTACACCGGGCCCATTTCAAAAGTGAAGGGTCCTTCAAATGCAAAAATCCAGAATTAAAAGTCCATCTTATCACCCTGCCTCTTCCTAAGCCTCTCCAATCAAGATCTGCCTTCTGCGCATTTCTATGTACCAGCTTACTCTTACCCCACCCCTAGAGGTTTCCCAGACAACTCAGTCGGGGAGGCAGATTTAAGACATATTTCTCCTACTTCCATACTTTGTAATAATAACAAAGTTTTTTCTGCTCTCAGAAGACTGGCCTCACAGTGTGACTGGTTGTGTGAGGGATCTCTAACCAACAGCAAGTCTGAGACTACTATCCTTGGAAAGGCTTCTTTGGAAGGTTGGCCTGTGTCCAGCATCTAGGACTTCAGGCTTCAGGGACTAAGAGGACTAAGTGGGACTAAGTTTGCCCACACTGTCTGTATAAACAGCATGGCTTATGTTGGACACCTGCTTTGCTTCTAGAGGTCTGGAATTTTAGTGTCTGCGAGGTACAAAGTGCCAACATCACCAGCTCCAATAACAGCCCTAGGCATGACTGTTGAGTTTCCTTGGTAGACAATATTTCCCATGTGTTGTCACAACTTGTGGCCTGAGACTCTGCTGGGAGAACTCTCGGAAGAGGCTCCTCATTTCCTCCAGACTCAGCCTCGTGTGCCTTCTCCCTTTCCTGATGTTCTTTGTATCCTTTCACTGTCGTAAGTTATAGATTGGGTATGACTGCACGCTGAGCTCTGCGAGTCCTCTCAGTGAATCTTCAAACACTGGGTGGGCTTGGAAACCTCCGATGTAAGTTGTCTTGGTGATATTTAGGAAGCCAATATCAATAGTACCAAAGACAATTGATAGCTTTTACTATAGCATTTATAGAATTCCTTTAAATAGAATGTTACTCAGTCACTCATTTATCAAACTTTTGATAAGCACACTTTGTCTCCCTCCCCCTGTCAGTCATAAGGGACCCCTGCAGAATGGCTGGAAGCGAGTACAGTCTCGGAGAGGCTTGAGCTCTTAACTTGTGGGGTTTGCCTTAATGCTGGGTAGTTAATGCCAGAATGGAATAGTAGTACGTACACTGGTGCTAGGCTACCCATCCTGAATCTTCCAATGGCTCCTTGCCCCAAGGTATAAACAGACCTGAGGCTCTCAAGCAAGATGGTATTTGAAATATACCTATTAGCAAGATGGTATTTGAAATATACCTATTAGCAACAACTCCTTAAAGGCCCCATAAAATTGCAACAGTATTTCCTGTCTTTTCTTGTTAAAGGACTAATCTTTAAAGTGATGGTGACATTGGAAATGGCGCACATAGGCCTGTGTTGAGATGTCCTATACATACGTATTCTAGAGTTGAGGTTGTGAGAGTGATGACAAGTTTTATGGAAAAGTCTTGCCTCTTCTAAACCCTGACCACTATCAAAGACTGCACGCTCCAAGGAATATCCCACAGGAACAAAATACAGCATCAGTGAGAAATATCGAAAGTGGCAGAGTTTTAGAACACGAAACCGACATGTTGACAGAGCAGTACATTGCAATGTGCTCATGTGAATTGAAAAAAGTCTGCTCTGGCTGATTGATTTCATAATGAAGCCTGGCTTTGCTGATTAACTTTTAAGTGAGGTTTTTACATACATTGAAAGAGACAGATGTGCAGTTCCAAAGTTTTGATGAAATTATGATTAAAGCTCATAAGGATAAAACACTTAAATGAAAAATATTGTATTGGCGACAGGTTTATAAAAATGCTAATACTTCTTTTTATCAACTCTGAGTTGAAAAATAAGGTGATTTAAGATGAAAAGGTTAGACTGTAATTATTAAAATTTGGGTAAGTCTTTTAAAAGTCTTTTTGGCATACTTCCCAGGAACTGAGAAAGTGACTAACTCAAACAAAGGAAGACCTAAGTAGGGTATCTAATGACAGATCATAAAAAATAACTTTTGATGACAGAGTATTATGTGATTTTTAGCATTTATCTTGGAAGAAGATCAAAGATTTGAGTGACACTGTCATTTCAAAAGGTTCCCATATCCATCCATTTTTAGACAGCTTTTCTCAGTGTTTACATCTACAAGAACTAAAACTAGAAATAGAACTGATGCTAAATCCTGTTTCATCTAGCTGCAAGTAATATTTCTTTCCTAATACATGAACTACACAGCAACATACAGCAGCGTTCATTTCACTAAAGATGTATTTCCAGTAAATTATGTCATAGGAGAGTTTATTAGATGAAACTTCTTTATGGATAAAAATGATAAAACTTTTAAGAAACTATAAAAATCATTTGAAAAATTATTTTAAATATTAGTTTTTGTTACTGGAAAGCAACCAAAAACATGCAGGCAGAATTAAAAGGATGGCTATTATTCACAGAATAGAAATATAACGAGTGACATTTATTCTTATTTATATTTTCGCACAGTGTGTACTGTGTAAAGTAGCTGAAACTCAGTCAGAAAGCTACAGTCTTAATGGTTTAAGAAATTAGAGGATGGAGTTTGGGTTTCCCAGAGCAGCAGACACCGGAACAGGCAAATCCTGAAAAGAAACAAACCACAGAGAAAGAGCACCAAGAAATGCACCTAACTCTGCCAAAATCCTTGCTTGATTCCTGAACTGTGTGTGCATGGTGGAAGCTCCAAAACCCCCGGCAGAAAGAAACATCTGGATTGCTGAAAGAAATTTCAGGTGGAGTTTAATTCCAGCCAAGTTAACTATCTGCTAGAAAAAAACCAACACCCCTTAGAGGAAGATTCCAGAACTTAGTGGCTCTACTATATATCTACAATGTTTAGTATACAATAAAAAAAAATAACAGATTTCTAAAGCAACAGGAAAATTTGGCCTATAGTCAACAGAAAAGCAGTGAAGAGAAGCTGATCCCAAGATGATAAACATGTAAGAATTAGATGGCTGGCGCCACGGCTCACTAGGCTAATCCTCCTCCTGTGGTGTTGGCACACCAGATTCTAGTCCTAGTTGGGACGCCGGTTCTGTTCTGGTTGCTCCTCTTCCAGTCCAGCTCTCTGCTGTGGCCCGGGAGTGCAGTGGAGGATGGCCCAAGTGCTTGGGCCCTGCACCCGCATGGGAGACCAGGAGGAAGCCTGGCTCCTGGCTTCAGATCAGCTCAGCGTGCCAGCTGTAGCAGCCATTAGGGAGGTGAACCAACGGAAGGAAGACCTTTCTCTCTGTCTCTCTCTCTCTCTCTCTCTAACTTTGCCTGTAAAAAAAAAAAAAAAGAATTAGCAAAGACATTAAACATTATATGTATATTTTAGGACTTCAGTATATGCTTATTAAACATTTTAATATATATAGTCATGGTGAATTAACAGATAGGAAACCCCAGTAGGGAAACAGAAATGGAAATAACTCCCCCACCCCAAAAAAATAGCTAAATAAAAATCCTATAACTGAAAAGCATAAGATCTGAAATAAAAAAATCACGGTAGGCTTAACAGCTGAAACAGTCACTGGGTCAGCAAATTTAAAAGATTATGAGAAATTATGCAATCTGAAAAACAGACGTAAAAACTATTTAAAAATGAATAGGCAGACTGAATTCTATTAACTTTTGGGACAAATCAAAGAGTCCAACATACATATAATAGGAAACTCAGAAGAAAAGGAAAGAGAAAATGTGAATAGAAAATATTTGAAGAAATAATGACTGGGGCCGGTGCTGTGGCGCAGAGGGCTAATGCCCTGGCCTGAAGTGCCGGCATCCCATATGGGTGCCGGTTCGAGACTTGGCTGCTCCACTTCCTGTCCAGCTCTCTGCTATGGCCTGGGAAAGCAGTAGAAGATGGCCCAAATCCTTGGGCCCCTGCACTGGCGTGGGAGACCTGGAAGAAGCTCCTGGTTCCTGGCTTCGGATTGGTGCAGCTCTGGCTGTTGCGGCCATCTGGGGAGTGAACCATCAGATGGAAGACCTCTCTCTCTCTCTGCCTTTCAAAAAAAAAAAAAAAAAAAAGAATGATGGAGATCTCCTCAAATTTTGTGTAAAACATAAATATACATATTCAATAAGGTCAAAAAAACCCAGCAGAGCATATATAAAATCATACCAAAGATATCATAGTGAAACTATTGAAAACAAAAGATAAAAAGAAAATCTTCGGCCGTTGCCGCAGCTCACTAGGCTAATCCTCCGCCGCGCCAACCTTAGCAGCCATTTGGGGGGTGAACCAACAGAAGGAAGACCTTTCTCTCTTTCTCTCTCTCTCTCTCTCACTAACTCTGCCTGTCAAAAAAAAAAAAAAAAAAGCTTCAAGTTAGCTTGAGAAAATGACACAGTAGAAACTGGGTGGGTAGGGGCCAGCATTGTGGTGCAGCAGGTTAAGCACCGGTTCAATCCTAGGCCACTCTGCACCCAATCCAGCTGTCTGCTAATGCTCCTGGGAAGGCAGTGGAGAATGGCCCACGTACTTTGGCCCCTGCCACCAAGTACTTGGGAGACCAGATGGAGTTCCTGGTTCCTGGCTTCAGCCTGGCCCAGTCTCAGCTGTTGTGGACATTTGGGAAGTGAACCAGTGATGAAAGATCCCTCTGTATGTCTCTCTGCCTTTCAAATAAATAAAATAAATCTTTGTATAAAATTTTGTTGTTAGATGAAGGGATATGATTGTAAAATAATGAAAGCTATAGGACACTGGAATGACATTTTTAGAATTGAACTTGAACTGGTGAGAACAGTATCATTAACCCAGAATTCAACACCCATAGAAAAATGTTTAAAAGTGATGGTGAAGATGAAATAAATATAGCTTCAGATAAATAAAAGCTTAGAATTTATCACCAACATAACTGCATTATAAGAAATGTATTATTTAATTTGAAAGTCAGAGAGAGACTCCAATCCTTTGGTTAACTCTCCAAATTCCTGCAACAATCAGGCCAAATTCAAGAGTCAGGAACTCAATCCAGGTCTCCCAGGTGGCTCTCAAGGACACAAATATGAAAACCATCACCTACTGTTTCTCAGGGTGTGCATTAGCAGGGAGCAATAATTGGGAGCAAAACCAAGATTCAAACCCAAGCACTTTGATATGGTATGCCAGTATATTAAGTGATGTCTTACCTGCTGTACCAAATGGTTATCCCAATTTATGACTTTATTCAAAAAAAGAAGGGGAATCAGCATTATAGCATAGTGGGTTTAGATACCACCTACGATGCTGGCATCCCAAATGGGTGCCAGTTCATGTCCTGGTTCTAATCCAGCTCCTTGATAATGTCCTGGGAAAAGAGGTGGAAGATGGCCCAAGAGCTTGGGACTGTGCCACCCACAGGGGAGTCTTGGATGGAGCTCCTGGCTCCTGGCTTCAGCCTGGCTGGCTATTGCAGCCATCTGGAGAGTGAACCAGCAGATGGAAGATTCTCATTCTCTCTCTCTCTCTCCCTCTCTCCCTCCCTCCCTATCTCTCTGTAACTCTGATTTTTCAAATAAATAAATATGTTAAATAAATAAATAAAATAAGAGAAGGGAAATAATACTAGGTTGAAATTTAAATACATAAAAAGAATTAAAAACACAGCAATGGCAAATATATAAGTAAACATAAAAGACTAAAAACTTTCCTTAATTTCTTTAAAAGACATAATTTAAGGAAAAAATTATTCACCATATTTAAACACATAGGTCTAGTATATGAGAATACTTTAAAAAGCTTGTAGCTAGCAAAACTAAAGTTTATTTTGGTGCAAAAAAATGTTGACATCCATGTGTAGAGGGGCCTTCAAAAAGTTTATGGGAAATGTGTATTATTTTTTTTAAATGTTGGGTATATGATAACAATGACATAAAGAATGGGGGATAAATGGAACTTCAATTCTTCAAGGTATTTACATTTTATGTTAAGTAGTATGAGTTCTCAGAACACTGAGATAATTAAAAGATGCATAATGTGAACACTAGTGAATCAGTAAAAATTAATTTAAAGTGGTATAGCAGAAATTCAATGATGAAATACTCAGAAATATTAGATTAACCCCAAAGAAAGCAGAAAAGGAGAAACAGAAGAACAAAAAGAAGAGGAAGCAGAAATAAAATTTCAAAATTACAGATCTAAATCCAATCACATTAAATGTAAATGGACTAAAAATTCCAATTAAAAGTCAGAGATTATCATAATGAATTCTTTTAGAAATCAAGATCAGACTATAAGCCATCTACACAAGTTACATATGCTTTAAGAAAAACATAAGCTATAAAGATTGGGAAAAGATTTACTAGGCAAACAGTAAGCAAAAAATAGAGTGGTTATATTAACATCAGACAAAATAGATTTCAAGCCATCAGTATTAACAGAGATAAGAAGAGACAATTCATAATAATAATTTTAAGAGATCAAATCATCAGTAAGACAAAGAGGCCTATGTCATAAAAATCCTGTGCATTCATCCAATAACACAGCTTCAAAATTCATGAAGCAAAAATTCAACAACTAAAAAGAACTAATAGAAAAATCGATTCAACAACCATAAACAGGAAGATTGTGATAACTTCCCTCAGTAAGTAATAGGATTGGGCAAAAAACCCGTAAGAATAGAAAATGAACAACACTATTAATACTTAACTGGACTGATATTTATGGAACCAACTGACACTTACGTGACCACGCAGTGGTAAAATACACATTCCTTATACAGTGCACACGGAATGTTCATCATGATGTTCTGGGCTATGAAATAAGTATGAATACAATTCAGAAGACCGAAGTCTCGGAGCATCTCTTTGGGCCACAACAGGATTAAAGTAGAAGTAACATGTACAGAAGCCCCCAAGTGTGTACTGGACATTAGACACACTTCGAGCAAAGGATCAATCATAAGGGAAATCAAAAAAGATCTCACTGAATGGGAAGGAAAGCGTAACATATCAGAAATAGTAAAATGCAGCTAGAGCAGTGTGTACAGGACAACTCATAGCCTTAACCGTGTGCATTCACAAACCAGAAGGGTGTCCTCCACCAAGAATGTATCTGCTCGGGGCAACCAGGAAGAGGAAACCAAACTCCAGGTGAGTTAAGCAAACATCACTGAAGTAGAAACCAAATCAGCGGAATCAAGGGATGAAAGTCTGGAAAAGACTTTTTAAATGGTTACACCTGCAGCTAGATTAGTGAGGGGAAAAAATACCAACTACCACAGTCAAGACTATCCGGACAAGGTTCCCGCTCTGACTGACCTCTAGTGAGAGAAACTGTAAAAGTCACGCAAATTGGCCTCTTTGTACGGAGTGCGGTGAACTCAGAGAAACCTGCGTGCAGGGACACGCCCACTCAGGTTCCGGGGCGGCGACCCCGCACCGCAGTACCCGGACGTCAGCTCGCCCCGCAGCGTGCGGGACCCCGGAGCCGGGTGGCGGCCCCGCCCCGCCCCGCGCCGAGCCGCCCCGCCCCGCGCACACGCCCCGCCCCACGCCGCCTCCGCCTTTCTGCGCAGGCGCAGGCTTGGCCGGCTGAACCTGGAGGTGTGGCGCCGCTGTGCGGCCGCCGAACCGGACCGGAGCGCTGGTGAGGTGGCGGAGGTTCGACCCAGCCGCTCCTGCGCCCCGCGATGCCGCGGACAGACCCGCGGCCCCGGCCTCTCTGAGTAGGTCTCAGCACGCCAGGCGCTGAGGGAGCCCATGGCGGAGGCCTGCGAGCCCGGCCGGCGGGCATCCGCGGGCGGCGGCAGCCTGGCGGCGGCGGAGGAGGAGGATGAGGAGCGGGAGCCGCTACTGCCGCGGATCGCCTGGGCCCAGCCGCGGAAAGGCGGCCCGGGCAGCGCCGTGAGGCTGCCGGAGGCTGCGGGGGACGCCCCCCGCGAGGCCGGCGACGAGGAAGTGCTGCTGCCTCCCGGGGACTCGCCCAGCTGCCCGCCCCGGGGCGTGGGGGTCCCGCGGACGTCACCCGCCGACCTGGACCGGAACCGCCTCTCGGGGTCAGGTGCGAGCCGGCTCTCCCCTCTGTGCGCTCAGCCCCCCGTTCGCGCCCTGCCCGCCCTGGGCACCTGGCCTCTCGCTGCCGCTCCCGCTGCCGGGGTTTCTCGCCCGGGCTCCTGCACCCGAGGCCAAGGGTTGTCTGCTTCCTTAGGCCTCCGCCCAGAGTGTGTCTGGACTCGCGGGAATCAAACTGTGCACACTGTCAAGTGACGTCAGTTCGCTCCAGCTGAGACTCGAGTTTTGAATCGAGAGCTCGGAAGGAGCAGAAAGTGGCCGAGTTGTGAGTTTCCAAGGGTGGATGACAGGAGGGCGATGCACAGCGAGAATATTGTTAGCGCTGGGACACGTCTCACAGCCTTTTCCTAGTAAATATTGTGACGTTAGCTAGGGGCCACACAGGCCTGACTTGCTGGTGCTGCTTTCTGTCTTGGGAAGTTTGGCTCCCTTGAGTAGCTTCAGTACTTAGGCTTAAAAAGAGAGAGGAACCCGTTTTCGTTAGTGATGGGCCTCAGATGAAAGAGATTAAATGAAGAAATATGGGGGGCTGGCGCTGTGGCATAGCGGGTTAAAGTCCCAGGCTGCAGCGCGGGCATCCCATCTGGACGCTGGTTCAAGTCCTGGCTGCTCCACTTCCCATCCAGCTCTCTGCTATGGCCTGGGAAAGCAGTAGAAGATGGCCCAAGACCTTGGGCCCCTGCACCCGCATGGGAGACCTGGAAGCTCCTGGCTCCTGGCTCCGGATCATTTCAGCTCTGCCGTTGAGGTCATCTGGGGAGTGAACCAGCAGATGGAAGACTCGCTCGCTCGCTCTCTCTGGCTCTACCTCTCTCTATCACTCTGTATTTCAAACATAAAACCTTTAAAAGAAAAGACATGGAACGTTAGTAAGTGTAGGCATCCTGCTTGCAAGCATGGATATTTGTTGATAAAGGGAAGTTTTTAAATGTCTGTTGGTATTTATTTGAAAGGCAGAATGAGAGAGAGAGAGAGAGAGAGAGAGAGAGAAAGGTCTCTTCCATCCGCTGGCTCACTCCTCAAATGCAGTGGACAACTTGGGTTTTGCCAGGCCAAAGCCAGGAGCTTGGAACTCCATCTGCATCTCCCGTGTAGGTAGCAGGGACCCACTCACAGTGGCAGTCATCGGCAGCCTTGCAGGCTCATTAGCAGGAAGTTGAATTGGCAGCAGGGTAGCTGGGCCTTGAATGTGGCACTGCTGTTTGTGATGCTGGAGGGCTGTGGGCTTTACCCACTGGGCCATAGTGCACGAGGATTGAGTGAGTTTGGGGGCAGGTGGAGTGGAAGTGGAGTTAGGCATTTGGTATAACTAGAGTAGACTTGGAAGAAATGAAGACGGGCTGATGTGTAAACTGGTGATTTTAATAGCTACGTGCTGGTCTTATGGTAGATTAAATGAGATGATATTGTACACTCAACTTTGACTGCCTACATGAGAAAGTTTTCATTAATATTGCTTAGTTTTTCTGGAGTTAGATTTCACACGTCCTGCCACTGATACACGAATACACCTTCTGAAGTTGAAATAACTTTGCACAGATAGGTCACATTCTAGTTGAACTTACATTCAAACATATTTCAGAGTAAATGAATCAGGCCCATGAGAAGCAGTCTGTCCACTTGTTAAGCTTTAGGGAATGTGTCTTACATACATGTTACATTGTCTTGCCTAATTGAGGCTTTGACAGTACAGTGTTTAGCCAAATAGACATGAAATTGGAACCATGATCCCAAATGGGCCTGCATTCACGTGCATTGGCAATTTGGATGTCTGTTATCTAGAATCTAGTCTGTGAAGCAACTACTAAGCTAAGCTCTGTGTCACTAGCTTGCCTTTTTTCTACAAGTTAGCTTGTGTAACTAGATTTTAAAATAACCAGAAGCCTTGAAAGTGCATTTCTTTTGTGCAAATGAGGTCTTTTGTAAACAAATAGCATGAAGACCAGAAGACAAAGTGAGAATAGAGTATCACACTGCAGATGGATTAAAGAGAATTGCTGCTTTAAAGAATTGCTTCTTTAATGAATATCACAGTTTGCTGTTTGCTGAAATCTGTGTTTTGGCTCTTCATTAATTCTCACAACAGCACAGCGAGTGTTACTCACCCACAGCCTTGTGAAGATTGAAAATTACTAAAACGGTAACCACTGGTAGTTCAAAGAATTTCAGCGGTGGGTGGTTTGCCCAAAGTCAAATATCCAGGAAGTGGTAAAGGCAGGACCGAGCCTGCTTCTTCCTTTTTCATGTCCTGCGCTTCTTCCATTTTGCTGTAGATCCCTAAGTGTGATAAAATAATTTTACATGTGATTATTATGGAGCTTTTATTTTCATAGTTTTGAATTATAAAAACTGTTTACAAATTTTAAAGCACTCCTAAAAAGTTTGAGTAATTTAACTAGAGTTTTTAGTATTTTGTGTGTGTGTGTGTGTGTGTTTTTTTTTTTTTTTAGGAGCTCATTAATTTTTTTTTTTTGTTCTTTACCATCCAAAATTCCGTGAAAATTCTCTGGTTCCAAGCAATGCTTGCCTTTAGGTTACTATTAACTTCATTGATGATGCTTGACTATTTTGTTTATATACACAGGTGCTTTAACCAGTGAAGGAATGTCATGTCTGTTATCTTTATTTTATTATTATTTTTTTTAGACAGTGAGAGAGAGAGACAGAGAGAGAAAGGTCTTCCTTTGCCTTTGGTTCACCCTCCAATGGCCGCTGCTGCAGCCGGCGCACCGCGCTGATCCGATGGCAGGAGCCAGGATCCAGGTGCTTTTCCTGGTCTCCCATGGGGTGCAGGGCCCAAGCACCTGGGCCATCTTCCACTACACTCCCTGGCCATAGCAGAAAGCTGGCCTGGAAGAGGGGCAACCGGGACAGAATCCGGCGCCCCAACCGGGACTAGAACCCGGTGTGCTGGCGCCTCAAGGTGGAGGATTAGCCTATTGAGCCACGGCGCTGGCTTGTTATCTTTATTTTAATAAGACATGTGACAAAGTTTGGATAGAGCATAAATCATACTCAGTTATTGGGTCAGTGCCACGGAAGAAGGGTTAGTGGCATTCCTTGGTCTAGTTAGCACTTTAATCAGTGAGTTGGGAAGTAATAAAGATGCTAATAGATAATATCTACAGAGTGGCTAGTATGTGCTGGGCGAAGTTCTGTGTGCCTCACATATTAATTCGTAATAAATGAGTTATAGTAGTGACGTGAGAATCAGGGAAGTGAACACTTTTTATTCTCATTTTAAGAAAGCACAGAGGTGATTCCTCTGCGGTCCCGGATAATACAAACCAGGAGCACTTACCCTGTCTCAGAAGCCTGACAGAGCACAGTGTTAGAATTCACAGTTACCAGGGTAGAAGAAAGTGCACATTTTTAAGTCATTTAATGATTTGCAGCATGATAACTAATAAATGTGTAAACGAAATATGAAAATTGCAAGTAAGTAAGAAAGATGAGAATGGGAAATAAGTGTAGTGAACTAAGTAAGCGTGAGACTGGAATAAAAGTACAAATACGGGTCAGATGCCTGACGCAGGCAGCCCACAAGTTTGTTAAGATTACTGAGCAGCTAGTGAGAGAAACATAGTTACTGCTTGTAAGGTTAAGAATGACAAAGGGTAATGTGTCATTTAGTCTTTGGAGAAGGGACTGTATGCTGAACAACATCTTTGGAATAAAAGTGGTTAGTTTCATAGCTGTACTTCTTAGAACTTCTCTCAAGTCCATTTCAGTAGAATCAATTAAAAAAGAAAAAAGTTTATTTATTTGAAAGGTACAGTGACAGAGAGAGAAAGAGATGTTCCATTTGCTGTTTCACTCCCCAAATGGCCACAACAACCAAGGCTGGGCCAGACTAAAGCCAAGAGCCAGGAACTCCATGCAGGTTTCCCAGTGCGTGGCAGGGGCCCAAGTACTTGGCCCACCTTCCACTGCCTTCACAGAGTAGCCAAGACTTGAAAGTGGCACCCTGATATGGGATGCTGGTGCTGCAGACAGTGGCTTAGCCTGCTGTACCATGACACCAGCCCGCAGTAGAAGTAATTTTAGCAACTGATGCTATCAGTATTGTTTGTTCTAAGTTGAAGGAAGTTTCTAGAAGAGCAGATATTCATGTATTTTCACACTCCTCCATAAGTGAACTTTGAAAGATAGTGGAGATATGTTGGAGATTATTCCACAACCAGTGCATAAAGTACAGCTGTTCTTTTTAGCATTTATTACAGAGATAAATCAGTCATCAAATACTTACGTGCCAATGGAAATCAGAGCCTTGAGGAAACAATAGTGACCTATAGCGAATGGATGCCTGGTTGTCTGCCGTATCTCCATATGAATTTATAACCTAAGAGGGGAGACAGTCAATTAAAACCAACACTTTTACAGACTGCTTGGGTCGGGCAAAGTGAGGGTTCCACTGAGGCATGGAGCCGTGCCCTAGATGTTGGAGCCAGGGAGGACATAGCAGACGAGGGGGCATCTAATCTGAGATCTGAAAGACAGATAGCCCTGCAATGCCCGAGGCAGGCTGCAGTTCACCACGCTTGTGAGCATCTCGTTTGTTCCTAGGACATACACTGGTTAGGTGGGTAACACGTAGTAAAGGTGGTCCAGATGGAGTTTGAATCCTCAGGGAAGAAGAATCCATTCTGATTTCCTTAAAATGAAAACTTGACAAGTTACTGAGATTCAACTAAATTTAAAAGGTTATACAGTGGGTTTTCTTATTTCAGTTTCTGCTTTTTTGTTTGTTTGTTATTTTATTTATTTGAAAGGCTGGGTTAGAGAGAGAGACAGAGAGAGGTCTTCCATCAGCTGGTTCATTCCCCAAATGGCCTCAACAGCCAGGACTGGGCCAAGGTGAAACCAGGAGCCAGGAGCTTCTTCTGGGTCTACTACACAGTTGCAGGGGCCCAAGCACTTGGGCCATCTTCCACATTAGCAGGGAGCTGGATTGGAAGAGGAGCAGCTTTGGGACACGAACTAGCACCCATATGGCATGCCGGCGCTGCATGATTTTACCTGCTACAGATACCCCAGTGCCAGCCCCCGCCCCCCGTTTTTCGCTTTCTAAAGGACCACTTAATAACTAAAAGTGTGGTCAGTAGGATGGTTTGTTAATGTTTCAAGCAGATTTTTAGAGGGCCTACCATGAGCTGGGTCTTGTTTGAGGCACTTGAGATGCATCAGAGAATGAGTCTGACTTCCAAGGACTCAGATTATTTTGCGATAGCATTGAAGTGTGAAGGAACAGGGAAACAAGTTTGGCATATTGATGGAATAGCATGGGCAAAGGGTCGGGCACAGGCTGGACGTTTGTGAAAAGTAAGGACCTTGAGTAGGACCAGGACCTCACTAGACGACTACCACCTCTTCTTAGAGATGACCCAGAGGGAATATGTGTAGTAAAACTGAGAGGGAGGGAGGTGGGATAGAGGGAGAACGTGCACATTGCCGTTTGCTGGTTCACTACCCAAACACCTGTAACAGCCAAGGCTGGGAACCCAATTACTTGCACCATCTAGCTGCTGCCTCCCAGAGTTTGCATTAGTAGGAAGTTTGGAGTCAGGAGCTGGGGCTGGGTATTAAGCCCAGGTATTCTAGTGTGGACTGTGGGCAGTTTCACCACCAGGCTAAATGCCTGCCCCAGTAATTTTAGTTGCAAAAAAATTTTAAAAAATGAAGCTACTGGCCGGCGCCGTGGCTCAATAGGCTAATCCTCTGCCTTGTGGCGCTGGCACACCGGGTTCTAGTCCTGGTCGGGGCTCCGGATTCTGTCCCGGTTGCCCCTCTTCCAGGCCAGCTCTCTGCTATGGCCAGGGAGTACGGTGGAGGATGGCCCAATTGCTTGGGCCCTGCACCCCATGGGAGACCAGGAGAAGCACCTGGCTCCTGCCTTCGGATCAGCGTGGTGCGCCGGCCGCGGCGGCCATTGGAGGGTGAACCAATGGCAAAGGAAGACCTTTCTCTGTGTCTCTCTCTCTCTCACTGTCCACTCTGCCTGTCCAAAAAAAAAAGGGGGGGGGCAACAAACCTTCAACTAGATAATCCATAGCACGTCTGTCTTGAAGCAGAGTGACATCTGGGAGTGTCTTCCAAGTTAATAAGATTAGGAAAATTGTGGCATAGTGGATTAAGCTGCCACTTGCAGTGTCAGCATCCCATATGGGTGCCGGTTCAAGTCCTAGCTGCTCCACTTCTAATCTAGCTCCCTACTAATACGCCTGGGAGAGCAGTGGAATGTGCTTGAGCCCCTGTACCCACATGGGAGACCCAGAAACTCCTGGCTTCGGATGGGCCCAACTCTGGCCATTGTGGCCATCTGGGAAGTGAACAAGCAGATGGAAGACTTCTCTCTCTAACTCTGCCTTTCAAAATAAATAAAAATTTTTAAAAAAGAAATAAAATTGTAGAATGTAAATGTCAGTTAAGGAAAACATCTACTAAAAGCAGTTACTTTGATTTTAGACAGTTGGTAAAAGATCAAGCTTTTCTGTTTTTGTTTTTGTTTTTAAGTGTCTTTCTGGATGTAAGTACCTTTCTGTTATGGTAAACCCAGACCATCCTTAAATGAAAGAAGGCACAGTATGCTGTAGGGTGGATAGTACCTCATTTGTCTGAGATTCTCATTAGAGACAAAGAGAAAAGGTATGAGAATCTCATGGCCTGTTTTATGGGAATGTTTCAATTTTGGTTGAAACTGAATTCCAATTTTGAGTGAAACTGAATATTAAATTAGATATTCAAGGGGCCAGCATTGTGGCACAGTGGGTTAGGCCAGTGCTTATAGTGCCAGCAACCCTTATCGGAGTGCCTGTTCGGGTCCTGGCTACTCTGCTTCCGATCCAACTTGCTGCTGATGCACCTGGGAATGCAGTGGATTTGGACCCCTGCCACCCACATGGGAGACCCAGATGGAGTCCCAGGTTCCTGTCTTCAACCTTGTCCAACCCCAGCTCTTGTGGCTATTTAAAGAGTGAACCAGTGGATGAAAAGTCTTGCTCTCTCTTCCTGTCTCTCTCTCTCTCTCTCAAATAAATAAATGAATAAATCATAAAAAAAGTATTCAGGATGATCCTGGGCTCCATGACAGCAGCAAAAGTAGTTTCTATGATGGACTCTCAAATATTATCCACAAACCAGTTTGGTAACATTTAACAGTAGAAATGTCAAGGCCTGCACATATTAGGACACTTCACAAAATTCATGAAAACAAAAAGGAGTTAAAAGGTAAGTTTATTTTGATACAAAAAATTTTGAAATCCATGCATAGTTTTTCATAATACACATTTTCTGTGAAGTGTCTGAAGAGCCCTTGTATGCATGGATTTCAAATTTTTTGCACCATCATAAGCTTATCTTTTAATATCAGTTTTTCCCAAGAACTTTGAACTAGTGGCCAAAAGAACTGCTCAAGTACAGAATGGAAGAGACCAAAAGTGGTCTTGGAGTTCAGCCCTTTGATTAATGAGTTAGCAGTGTGTTGCTAATGCAGGGTTAGAGGGCTTCTTGTTCTGGGTTAACGGCCAGGCTTGGTGTCTCTGGTCCCTGCTCTGGGTTGTCAGTTCTGGAGACTATATGGAGGACTGTCACCAGGCGGGAAGAAGTAGGTAGACTTTTATTTTGATCAATGGCAAGTCTAGGTCAGAGGCTGAAACTGCTAGAGACTTATTTTGTTTCTGGAAAATGAAGTTTATTATATTATTGCTTTCACAAAGACAAAGAGAAGCATTTAAGAAATGTGATCTTTTTGAATGTGTTTAAGCATTGGCCCAAAGACCACTTTCTCTAGTGATGTATTATGGGAGTTATACCAGTACTGGGTGAAAGGTTGGAACAGAAAACTTTCCAGATTCATTCTTTTGTTCAGGACTCAGGAATCTCTGATGTAGAAGAAATATCACTGGACTAATGGTAATTGTTTTGGCATATTTATGTATTCAGATATTTGTAAGTCACTAAATACTGTTCCCTTTTCCAAGTGAACAAGAAAAAAAGAATTTGGAAAGATAAGCAAAAATGACTTGATTTTTACATATCAGTTGTACATATATGATTGAAATATTTCAATTATTCTTTTGGATAAGTTAAATATTCTCAGTAGCCCTTCTTGTAATATTTTTCTCAGCATAAACTTTAAAAAATTAGTAAATAACTTTTATTTCTGTCTGTATTAGATAAACTTTAAGGAAAGTGTTTAAATGCCTTCTAAATTGTGAAAAGCTTTTGGCTTATCTGCCACTTTACATGATTAATTATCAATTTGTTTTCAAGATCTCTCATTTTTTAAAATCCTATCTTGGATGGATGTTGTGATAATTAGATAATAATGTATGTGAAAACACATCACGAATGTTGAAGCACCATATAAATAAATCATTATTGTTATCCAAAAAAATTATCAATCCATTCAGCAATTGTTTATTAAGTGCTATTATGTTCCAGGACTTACATAAGTTCCAAAGATACAGCAGTGAAAATCCTTGTCTTGGAGTTCAAAGAATAAATTACACAGTACACTAGATGAAAAATGCTGAACAGAAAAATTGTGGTTAGAGGCAGTTGGGTGAAGGGCTTAGGGACTATCTTCAAGTGAGATGGGAAACTCTTGGAGTGTTTGGTACAATGTTTTAACAAGGTTGCTGTAGCTTATCTTGTTGAGTGTAGAGAGGCACAGGTGAAAGAGACCAATTAGAGGGCTCTTGTAATAATTTAGGTGAGAGCTGCTAGTGACCCCAATCATGTGGAAGGAATGGAGATGGTAAGGAGGGGTTGGATTCTGGGTACTTATTTAAGGTGCAGCCAACATGACTTGGTGATAGATTGGATGTGGAGGGTGAGCATGTGAAACCCTAGATGACCAGAAGATTTGGAGTTGCCAGGAACTGAACTAGGGAAGAGTGGAAGTGATGCCTTCAGGAGGATTGGACCAGTGAGGAGTTCAGTTTTGGGTAATAAAGTTGAAGCTGTTAGTCAACATCCAAGCAGACACGTCAAGTACTGGGCAGAAGTTCAGGCTCAAAGTACAAATGTGGGCATTACTAGTGTTGATCTAGGAGAGCAGAGGACCATGAACCGAACCTGGGGCATTTCAAAGTGAAGTAGAGGACAGGTAGGTGTGGCACTGGGGACTGGTAATAGTTTTTTTTTTTCTGGTTGCTTGCTTTATGAAATGAGAGGCTAGATCATTTGCCGAGAGAGAGGATGAGAGAGGTGATATTGGGAATTTAAACAGAGAAATTATTTTGTTTGTGTATGTTTCTCTGGTCAAGTTCAGCTTGAATCGGTGCAGGCATGCAGGTGACAGACAGTTGGGTTTAACCAAGACTAGGATTTTTCCAGGTCACCATGATGAAGGGAGGAAGCAAGAGTGGTCTTCTATTGATTGACCATAATTCCAGCTGGCCAGGGAGGGAAGTAAGGACACAAAGCAGGTAAAACTGATGACAGCATACATCAGTGCTTTGTAGGTTGTTGTGGGGTGGAGAACTTTGGGACTCTGTACAGAGGGACTGAACTGAAAAGATAGGAGGTACTTGAAATTTCAAGTAGGGATAGGTGGAGGTTCTTGGTAGTGACAAGATCTCAGGTGTGACTAGCTAGAAGCTAAAGTGGGTTGGAGGACAGAATCAGTGCAGTGGGAGGGGCTGACATTGCGGTGGAGGGGGTCAAGCCAGTTGGAGTCCCAGCTGCTCCACTTCTGATCCAGCTCCCTGCTGATGTGCCTGGGAAAGAGCAGAGGATGACGACCCAAGTGCTAGGTCCCCGGAACCCACATGGGAGATCTGGAAGAAGCTTCAGGCTCCTGGCTCCTGGCTTTGTCCTGGCCCAGCCTTGGCTGTTGTGGCACCTAGGTAGTGAACAAGAGGATGGATGACCCCACTACCTCTCTCTCAATGTAACTCTGCCTTTCAAATAAATAAAATAAGTCTTTAAAAAAGGGAGAGAAGTGGGAACACAAAGAAAAAAAATAAGGAAATGGAAAGGATAATTGCCTGTTGTGATTGGTTTACACTGTGTTATATATGCAGAAATATTGAAGTGTAACCTACAAAAATATACATGTATTACCAGTTAATCCAAGATTTTAAAAATACATAAAACACTTTTAAAAAGCAGTCGGGCTAGGGAAGAAGAAGAAATAGAATTAGAGCAGTCTATACAGTGCTTGATTACATTTGGTGTCCCTTAACATCTGATGTTAATAACCTAATCCATCTCATGAGCATTCTCATGGTCTGTCTTCTTTGTGCAGCAACTACTGGTGCTTCAGAGCTGAATGCCTTCTTGGATGATCCAGAATTTGCTGATACCATATTGAAAGCAGAGCAAGCAATAGAACTGGGAATTTTCCCAGAAAGAATCTCTCAAGGTTCAAGCGGAAGTTACTTTGTGAAGGATCCTAAGAGGGTGAGAATTTCACAGACCTACTATATATAACAAAAATTTTGGAAAACTAATTTAAATCTGTTCATTGTGAGTTTCTGAAGATATTTTCCTATTAAGTCTAATTGCATCCTATATTCCAAAATAAAGGTCAGTTGGTTTTTTTGTGTGTGTATGTTCGTTTCACCAAAACACTCATATTTAGAAATGGAGCTAATCATTTTAAGTCAGTTTGCTGTTTAGTTATTTTATATTTGGTTTCAAGTATTTATTGAATGCCCACATTCAGCTGTGAAGTTGTTCTGCATTTAGTCAGGTCTTTACCTAAATGTCATTTTCAAGTACTTGATTTTTCTGAAAATCAGATTTTGGCCTAGAAATTTTTTTTTTTTTTTTTTTTTTTTGGTATTTTATCAGAGGAAGTAGGCTGGGTAATTTGAAGTTTCAAGGTATTGCAATGTGACCAGGTAAAATGAACCAAAATATGATTTTGGGGCAGAAGAAGGAAGTCTATATAATACTTTGTTCCACACTCTAGAAGTTTTTGAAAAATCTGTGTTACCTTTCTAAAAGATTTCCAAATCATGTATAACCAGCAGTTCTTTTTTTCGGGGGGAAGAAAGTTTATAATTTTACCTAATTTGGGTCATGGCAGGGACAAAGGTTAAAGCTGATTTTGAAACATATTATTTTTTTTAAGTTTAAATATAGTCAGTCCTAGATAATGTCACTCTCTCAATCTTTATTCCAAATTTGAATTTTTAAAAATATTTTAATGTTTGTTTATTTTCATCTACTTGAAAGGCAGAGTGACAGAGAGGGAAAGCAGACAGAAGGAGATCTTCCATCTGCTGGTTTACTTCCCAGTCTGCAGTAGCCAGGGCTGGCCAGGCTGAAGCCAAGAGCCAGAAACTCCATCTGGGTCTCCAGTATGGGTAGCAAGAACCCAAGTATTTGAGCCATCATCTGCTGCTTTCCCACGCACATTAAAATAAGAAGCTGGATTGGAAGCAGAGTAGCTGGAACTCAGACTGGCGCTGTGTTTTGATGGGGGTGTCCCAAGTGGCAGCTTAATCTGCTATGCTGTAACATCCTCCCCACGAGCTTAATTTATTCTTGTTGACTTTTTTTTTTTAACTAGTGCCTCATATTTTATTGAAATATAAAACAATTATTAAATACTTAAAAGATTTTTATTTCTAGTCTAAGAATAATTCATTATCTAAATTTAATATGAACAGACTGGTACTAAAGAGTTAGAGACTTAAACATTCATGAGCAATTTTTTTATATAAAAGTTTATTTAAAATTGGATAATGAAAAATATAATGAGAAAAGGATTAGGATGGGAGAATCTTACAACATAGATGTTCACTGTGTCTTGTTCTGACCTATGTATTTTAACTTTTTATTTTCATTTTTATTTGAAAGGCAGAGAGAAAGAGAGAGAAAGAGCCCAATGGAGAGAGATCTCCCATCTGCTGGTTCACTGCCTGACACAGCTAGGGTTAGGCCAGGCTGACACCAGGAGCATGGAACTCAGTCTGGGTCTCCCACATGGGTAGCAAGGATCCAGTACTTTCACATCATTTGTTGCCTCCCAAGGTGCACATTAGCAGGAAGCTGGGACCTGAACCAGGCGCCCAGATGTGGGATGCAGGCATCCCAAGCACAACTTAACCACATGCCAAACACCATTCCAGATCTTCATATTTTCAAGAACTGGTAGTTGTCATTATATTTTAATTCATTTAACAGTTACTTGAATATATGCTGGGTGTCAGATACTGTTCTGAGTAGAGAGGCAGCCCTAACAAAGTCCCTGCCTTGGGGCCAGTGCTGTGGCACTGCGGGTTAAGCTGCTGTCTGTAGTGCTGGCATTCCATATGGGTGCAGGTTCAAGTCCCAGCTACTGTACTTCTGATCCAGCTTCCTGCTAATGCACTTAGGAAAGCAGCAGAGGATAGCTGAAGTGCTTGGGCCCCTGCACTCACATGGGAGACCTGGAAGAAACTCCTGGCTTCAGCCTGGTCCAGCCCCAGCCATTATGGCCATTTGGGGAGTGTACCAGCAGGTAGAAGATCTCTCTCTCTCTCTCTCTCTCTCTCTGCCTCTCTTCTCTCTCTCTGTAACTCTGATTTTGAAATGAATAAATCTTTAAAAAAAAATCCCTGCCTTGTTAAAATATACAATATGTTGGGGAAAATAGACAACAGAAAGTAGACCAAAAAGGCATATAATTCGGATATTCAATAGATTTTGAATAATAACACCGACCTATAATTGTGGTTTTTGAACAATTAAAGATCGGCGGAACCTGATCTCGCCTTGGATGTGGAGTATTGTAAAACGGGTGAAATCAGAGCTAATCTGGTCCAGTGGCACGGGGTCACTTACCCGGGGTTTGTCCGAAGACAGTGTGAAAACCAGTCCAAAGATTATTGACTTTTCGATTGTTGAACGCGAATGCGTGTCAGAATGTGATTGGAACTAAACCTCTTCATGCCTGAGGGTTGTGCTTAAATCTTCGGTGGTAAACACTGGAAAATGAGTCTCAGAATGCATTTTATGGATTTATCTATCTACAGTAAAAGTCTAATAAGATTTTTTTTCCCGTATAGAAAACTATTGGTGTGTTCAAACCCAAATCAGAAGAGCCTTATGGTCAACTGAATCCAAAATGGACCAAATATGTTCATAAGGTCTGCTGCCCCTGCTGCTTCGGCAGAGGCTGCCTGCTTCCCAACCAGGGCTATCTCTCCGAAGCTGGCGCCTACCTTGTGGATGAAAAGCTTCATTTGGGCATTGTCCCCAAAACAAAGGTAAAGGAGGATTTGTTTTGAATCCTGTGCTTCTGATTTACAACCTGGTTATCAGTGACTCTGTTGGCAGTAACTCCTAATGATAAGGCCTGATGTTGAGCCCAGTTTTGCTAAGCCAAGAGTCATGAGCGACGTATAAATTGCCTCCAGTGTAAATCCACAAAGTATCCAAAGGAGTGTCTCCTGTTCCTGTGTAGTCAGACAGTGCTAACAAAAAGAGGAGGAAAAACTGGCGTTGAGAAAGCAGAAAAAGAACAGGAATCCAGAGAGCCTGTTGAAGGTAGAGGTAAAGGAAATGCTCAAGACAGCCCTTGTTTGGCCAGGAGCTTTAGAAGTTTTTACTTGAAGCCTTCCTCAAAATATTCATTCCTAACTCTGCATTCTTTTTTTTTTTTTTTTTTTTTGACAGGCAGAGTGGACAGTGAGAGAGAGAGACAGAGAGAAAGGTCTTCCTTTGCCATTGGTTCACCCTCCAATGGACGCCGCGGCCAGCGCGCTGCGGCCGGCGCACCGCGCTGATCCGATGGCAGGAGCCAGGAGCCAGGTGCTTTTCCTGGTCTCCCATGGGGTGCAGGGCCCAAGCACCTGGGCCATCCTCCACTGCACTCCCTGGCCACAGCAGAGAGCTGGCCTGGAAGAGGGGCAACCGGGACAGAATCCGGCGCCCCGACCAGGACTAGAACCTGGTGTGCCGGTGCCGCTAGGCGGAGGATTAGCCTAGTGAGCCGCGGCGCTGGCCAAACTCTGCATTCTAAGACTCGTATTATTCCTTGCACTGGAAAATTTTAGGCTCCTTTTATACTCTTCAGAAAGAAATATGTGCCCCCATTAACAGGCTTTGCAAATTCCTTTCTATTATAGGTTCTCCAGGGCATAAACATGGGCAATTATTACAGGGATGAACTTGAGCATTTACAGCATTAGAGTGAGTTTCATGGTGTATATGAATAAAAATACTATAATGCAAATCCTAGCCATTTGAGGCCAGAATTGTGGCACAGTGGGTTAATGCCAGCATCCTATATTGGAGTGCTTATCTACTCTGCTTCCCACCCACCTTCCTGCTGATGCACCCGGGAAGGCAGTAGAGGATGGCCCCGTGCTTGGGCCCCTGCCACGAATGTGGGAGATCAGGATGGAGTTCCTTGCTCCTGGCTTTCAGCCTGGCCCAGCCCTGGCTTTTCTGGCTGTTGCAGGCATTTGGGGAGTGAATCAGCAAGTGGAAGATCTCTCCCTCTCTCCCTTTCACCTCTCCCCCTCCCCCCTTCCCCTTACATCCTCTCCTGCTGCCCTCTTCCTCTCTCCTACCTCTCTGTTCTGCCTTTCAAATAAATACATCAATCCAAGAAGAAAATCCTAACCATGTTACTAAACTGTATGTTTCCAGGTGGTTTGGCTTGTCAGTGAGACATTTAACTACAGTGCAATTGACCGTGCCAAATCAAGAGGCAAAAAGTACGCTTTAGAAAAAGTGCCGAAAGTAGGCAGAAAGTTTCATCGGATAGGGCTCCCTCCTAAGGTAAGTCACTCTGGGGAGCTTTGCTTGGGGCAGGTGGGTGCCAGTGTGCCAGACATTGTGCTCCAGGCTGTGGATTTAACTGTAAAGAAAACACTTTGGCATTTAAGGAGCTTACAGTACACAAGCAATTTCACACTGTCCGTGTGATGGTAAATTCAGGAATCTCCGACAGGATGGGAAAGGGGTGCCTGACAGTTTGAAGGGGTGAGACTGTTTCCAGAGAGGTAGCATCAAAGGTTTTATGAAGTAATGACTGCAGGCGCAGGTCTGGAGTGAGTCCTAGGTTGCGGCCGCAGCCTCTCTGCTAGTTAGCTCGGAGACCTGGGCAGCCCAGGTTAGAGGGAGGTAGTTGTAGGGATAAAATCAACAAGTTCATGTCAAGTACCTGGCATGTGTGAAGGCTCCGGAAATGAAGTCACTATGTTTACTAACTACATAGTCAGTAGATTTTGTTTTTTCTTCCCTCTTTAAATAAACCTGAGAATGATTAGCAGCTTATCTAAGGGATAGGGAAAGGCATTCTAGAGAAAGCTCTCGGATTTATTATTTTTAAAATGTATTTGTCCTGTGATTTTGTTGTTTAGTTGATGCTGTACCTATATTTAGATCAATGAATTTGAGTACAGCTGCGTGGTTAATTTAGCTTTTTTATTTAGTTGTACTCCAAGAAGGCAGGCAGGATGTGTGAAAGTGTTTCCAAGACCTTGTCCTGAAATAAGTGCGACTGGAGGAGATGTTATTTCTGTATTTTAGAACTATGGGTACTTAATTTAAAAAGTTTTAGCAAGTCATTAAAATTTCATGTGAACAGCAGAAACATAAACTGTCAGGGTCAAAAACAGATTTTTCTTTGTGGTTGTGGTGATCTGTTTGTGTTTGTGAGGCAGATTGGGTTACCTGACCCTAGGGTAACAGTGCCATCCACTGTTTAAATGTGCTTTCTTTCTCTAGCAAACTGTTGAATGCTAACTAGTAATTTTAGTAATAAAAATACTTTTAAAATAGACATAAATGCAAGGAAAGGACACGTTTTAAAAAATCACTACACAGGTTATGATTAATTGATCAGTTCTTTAAAATTTATAACAAGTTCTTTAATCTGCTTGGTAAAATAATTCATTCTGTTTGTTGACTAAATTAATCCTGAAATGTTCCTACGGTAAGATAAAATTGCAGTATTATTAAATAACCAAGATAAGGATAGAATTTGGCCTCCATAATTAAATTCATTTTGCCGCATTTTGGAAAATGGCTTTCTTGTTAAGATTGTTACCTTGAAGGGTATACTTATTTTCTTTTTTAAAATTGTCCTAAAATAGCTGGCTTGCTCCTTGAAAGTCCAAAGTTGAGCATTTTTTATTTGATATACTCTTCATGTGATTATTTAAAATCAGTGTATAAAAATAGTTTCTTGATAAATGTGGCTTATCTAAATCAACATTAACTCTTGCTTGTCTTATTGTGTTTGTGACAGTACTGCTGAGAAATTAAAAATTAATCCTTTTGTTTTCATACTTTTCTTTTCTAACTGTAGTTCTTAAAATTATAGATTGGTTCCTTTCAGTTATTTGTTGAAGGTTACAAGGAGGCTGAATATTGGCTTAGGAAATTTGAAGCGGATCCTTTGCCTGAGAATATTAGGAAACAATTTCAGTCGCAGTTTGAAAGGCTGGTGGTTTTGGATTACATCATCAGAAACACAGGTATTACAGTTATTTCTTTTGTTCACTCACAGCTTGTTAGCTTTTGAACTTTATTCTTGAATCCGTATTAAAGTAGAAGTCTTGAGGCCACTTCTTCTCTGTGCCTTGGAAAACAGAGATGTAGAGCTGAGCGGAATCGGTCCTGTGCAGACACCTGCCCAGTGCAGAGACCTCTTCCTTCTCCTGGGACAGGAGTTCCCTCAGGTCAGGAGCAAGCAAGGCATTCGAAATGTTGTCTGTATAGCAGGAGTATTAGGGGACTTCAGAAAGTTACCTGGCTGCAAACGTGTCTCAGAATCCGCGTGTCGTTTTTTCCTGATGCACGTTTTCCACAGATGATTTGAAGACCCTTCCTTGAGTAATGAGAACTTGATGGTGTAACTTATTTCAGAAGCGTATTTTGACGTTAAGTAACGGTTAGTGTAGTCTATGAATACATTAAACTTTGAATGTGTTTCTGTGTTGTAAAGAGCAGTGGTGTACTTAATCCACAGCAGGATTCCCTGACTCAGGGTCAGCACTGGGTGAGAGCTTCCTAAACCTCCGTCTTCTCCCATGCCCCCCCCCCCAGACCCACTGAAGCAGAAACTCTGCAGCTGGGGGCAGCAAGCTGTTTTCATGAGCCCTGGCGATAATTCTGATGTGCTCCAAAGTTTGAAAACTTTTTATTTGAAAAAAAAAAAAAAGTTTTCACGGTGGGCATTTTAGCCTAGCTGTTAAGACATTGGTTCAGATGCTTAGAATCCGTGTCGGAGTTCCTGGTTTTGATGCCCACTTCCAGCTCCTGATTGCAGCTTCCTGCTGGTGCAGACCCCGGGGAGGCAGTGGAGATGGCCTGGGTAATTGGGTTCCTGCCCCTAGCATGAGAGACCTGGGTTGAGTTCCCAGCTACTGGCGTTGAGCCGACCTGTCCTAGCCATTGCGGGCATTTGGAGTGGACTGGTGAATGGCAGTGAGCATGTTTTCTCTCTCTCCCTCCTCTAATAAATGAATACATAAAACATGTTTTCTTATTTGTATTAGCTTTTGAAAAAGCATCATGTAACTTTCTAGCATTACCTTCCTAATTAATATGGTTTTAGATCAATATAAAAGCTGCTGTACAATCTAGAATACTCCTATATTGGCATTAGGGAAGCCTACTTGGAAATTTGCTTAGCAATAAGGGTAGATGCTGTTTTTCCCAAGGGGTAGAAGAGTTAACTTTAATTTTAATAACCTGGATTTACAAATTGTACCTACCTCACAGGTTGATTGCTAGGATTAAATTAATTGATACATGTTAAACACTTTCAACAATGTATGGCAAAGAGAAAACATTAATTAAATGTTAGCTAACATGGTTTTATTTAGTTTACTTTTGGAACTTATAATGTGGGAAAATATATGCTATAGAAAACCAATCAGAGTTTCAGAAATTGAGAGGTGACTATAGATTTTTCCCTTTTGATACTAAGCTATAATGTCTGTAAAATGAAGTAACAGGTTTTTTGTTTGTTTTGAAAGACAGGGGAAATGACAATTGGTTAATCAGATATGAAAAGGAGAAATGTGACAAGAAAACTGACCTTGAGGTAAGGAAACTTAAAACCAAAAAAAAAAAAAAAAGTATATATTCCATTTCAGTAAAAGCATCCTTGAAGGTTTTTTTACCATTCTCTCCTTCACTTGCTTTTTTTTTTTTTTTAAGATTGAGTTATTTTATTTGAAAGGCAGAGTTACAGAGAGGCTGAGGCAGAGAGAGAGGTATTCCATCCACTGGTTCACTCTCCAGTTGGCTGCACGGCCAGAGCTGTGCCGATCTGAAGCCAGTAGCCAGGAGCTTCTTCTGGGTCTCCCATGTGGGTGCAGGGGCCCAAGGACTTGGGCCATCTTCTACTGCTTTCCCAGGCCATAGCAGAGAGCTGGATCGGAAGTGGAGCAGCCAAGACTCAAACCAGTGCCCATATAGGATGTGGCACTGCAAACGGCAGCTTTACCTGCTATGCCGCAGCACTGGCCCCTCATTTGTTTATTAATACTTTTTTTTAGTCTCCTTTCTTTGTTTGTCTCATCCTTTTTCTTTCCAATACTTGTTTATGTTGCATCCCTTGCTTCTGTTTTATATTACTTCTGAGCTGCTTTTTTTTAAATTTTGTATTGGACTAAAAGAATGATACTAACTCAGTATTTTTTATTTGAAGGGCAGAGTTACAGGAGAGAGCATATGTATGAGCAAGTTCCATCTGCCGATTCATTCCCCAAATGGCAGCAATAGCCAGAGATGGGCCAGGCCAAAGACAGGAGCTTCATTTGGGTGTCCCACGTGACTGGAGGGACCCATCTACTCCTTTCCCAGGCACATTAGCAGAGAACTGGATCAGAAGTGGAGCAGCTGGATCTTGAACTGGCTCTGGTATGGGATGCCAGTGGCATCACAGCCAGCAGCTTAATCTGCTATGCCGTGCCATCGGCCCCAGCTCCGTACTTTTTTAGAGCTTAGGGAATTTTTTGAAGTACCAGATTTATTTTTGCTTTGATATAATAAAGACTTCTGATATTTTTGGTGAACATTTTTATATTTTACTAATTACTTCCTGAGTCTTGATTCAGTATTAGGTAATATAGTATTACTTAATCAAATGGAATATGTGTGCTTGACCTGTGAGTCATGTCCACTGAACTTGCAAAAAGCGCTTCTGCTGCTTTTAAAAAGCTGGTTTTAAGTTACATAACAGGTTGCATAAACTCTTAACACTGTTAAAATTTTAGACTGATTGCTATTAACTTTGAGTGCTTAAGTTTAAATTTTAGATAGCTGTTTTTAGAATGCATTTTTAAAGTTGGAAATATAATCTGTACATTTGAGAAAAATTTTAATTGATTAAAAGAAATTTCTCTAGTATTTTTCTCTGTGTTCCAAAGTTATTACTTAAAGCAGTTGCATCACTTTAAAAAGTTTGTACTTTTGTTTATCAAGGAGATTAAAGATACATATTAATATTAATAGTGCTTCACAATAATAGTGAACAAACTGGATACACAGAGTAACATGAATGAATCTTAAAGTCAGAAATAAGCTAAACATAGAGGAAACATACGTCATGATTCCATTTATGTAAAAAGCTAGAAAATGCCAACTAGTCCCTAGTGATAAAAGCAGATAAGTGAAGGGATAGGGTTGGGGGAAGGAGGGGTAGACGGGCAAGGGATCCAGGGAAACCACTGGATGAAGGCTTACCCAGTTCTACACTTTAATATATGAGGTTTATTATGTATATATTATATCCAAATTAAGTTATAAATAGAAAAGAATGATAGACATAAAAATAAATGGCAGTTAAAGCAGAAGTGAGTATAAAAAGCACATGTAAACATAAATATTTATCATAGCTCCTGAATTTATTTCATTGATATATCTTAAGCAATTAAGTTTTGCCAAAAACTTTATTCTTTTACACTTAGTACATTTTCATTGAAGTGAACACATTTGATGTAAGCTTAGAGAAACCTGACATGTATCAATCACGTGAGTGTTCACTATAGTACCTTTAAATTTGAAAAACTACCCTTTGCAGAGCAGGTGTTATGACACAGCGGATTAAGCTACTACTTGGGATGCCTGCAATTCATAACAAGTACCTGGTTTGAGTCTCTGCTACTCCACTTCCAATCCAGCTTCCTACTAGTGTGCCTGGGAGGCAACAGAGGATGGCTCAGGTACCTTGGCTCCTGGATTCAGCCTGATCTAACCCCAACAGTTCTGGGCGTATGGGAAGTGAACCAGCAGATGGAAGATCTCCCTGTCCTTCCCTCTCTCTCTATCACTCTGCCTTCAAATAAATAAATAAACAAATCTTCAAAAAAATTTGCCTTTTGCACTCTCTCTTATTTTATCTTAGTAATAGCAACCATCTGTCTTTAAATACTAGGGACTATTTGCTCCAGAGCTCTTCATCTCTGCTGCAGAAGAATCTGGACGTTAGTAATGACCTACATTCTGTGATCCCGAATACCTTAAGCTTCCCTCCCCAGGACTTGGTTATATTTAGTTATGGTCTTTGGGGGAGTTTGATTTAGAAACATTTTATATCTGACCTAATTATTTCTATTGGACCTTAAGCAAGGTTAACTCCCAACAAGGTAATTTTCTGTTGTTATCTTTAAAATAATAGTTGCATTTTGCAGATGTCAAACATTAAAGCAGTATATCTAGCAGTTAATTATCAGGGCATCAGTTTTTAAAATTCTGATATTTTCAAGTTCTCTTCTCCAAAGGTGGAAACCATTACTGAGTAAACATATAATACCAAATCACGGTTATAAAATTCCCCTTTTTAAAGATAACAACATTTATTTATTTTTATCCTCTTGAAAGGCAGCACAACAGAGAGAGCAAGAGAGAGAGACTTCCATCCATCTACTGACTCACTCCCCAAATGCCCACAACAGCCAGGGAATGCACCAGGTCAAAGCCAGGAGCCTGCAGCCTCATGCACATCCCCCAAGTGCTTGAGCCATCCTTTGCTGCCTCTCAATTGTATTAACAGGGAACTCGATAGGAAGTAGAGGAAGTGGCTCCCCAGTATGGGATGTGGGCATCCCAAGAAGCTGCTTAACGTGCTGTGCCACAACACCACACCCTGCCTGCCCCCACTGGCTTTTAAACAGTCTCTTCCCTTTCTGGATGAATTTATATTCTGCCTGGCTACTTATTTTTTAATTTTTATGTGCTCTTCAAAAAGAATGTCCTGAAGCCTCAATAATTATTTTAAATAATTTATCCTTTGGAAATATTTATGTAAATTGTTTTATCATTTTTTTCCTCTTAGGAATCAAACTGGATCAATGATAAAGAATCACTTATTAAAATAGCTGCAATTGATAATGGTCTAGCATTTCCTTTTAAACATCCTGATGAATGGAGAGCATGTGAGTATTTAGAACCTGCTATAGATTCTATAACACCACGCTTTTCTAGAGTGAGAAGCAAACAAAATTGTGGATATCAAAATAGCAGGAAAAACTCAGTGAGATATAATCACTAGGGCTCAGGTTAGGCACTGGGGATGCAAAGATACACACAGTGTGGGTCATGCTATGTGTTTCCTTATTTCTGGATACTTGTTTGGTTTTGATGTTTACATTTGTAAATATATGTTAGCCTTGGAAAATGTTTGGTAGCTTTGCAATTTAAAAAATATTTATAGCATGGGAGTTATTTCAATATTTTGGTGGAACAGTATTGTATTCACTTATAAAACAAATTCAACATGTCTTCCATCCTCCGGCTCCCTCACCCCTTACAGTGAGTAATGCTATAATTGCCTTCCCAGTCTCTGCTATGATTAGAGGTTGGGTTTTCCATATCTTCTTGAGCCACTCTTAGACGTTTTTTTCCCTTAAAATTGTCCATGAAATTTTGAGTTTTAGATTTGTGGCATATAGAAATTTCTTATAGTTAAAACAAAAACCTCTTCTCTATGCATGTTAAGAATTCAGGGGATATGATGGAATGATATCTGAAATTCACCTTAAAATACTTGTGGAAGAGGGACAGAGAGGAATAGATGAAGCAAATTTTGTGAAAATTTGCTAGCAATTAAATTTCATTATTGGGAATATGGGAGCTCATTTTTTAAATTTTTATGCATGTTTAAAAATATAATAAATGCTAAAAATAATCTGTATCTTTAAAAAGGTTTTGAAATTCCTTTTTGAAATTCCTATTCTGTTAATGGAATTTTTTCATTGTTAGTATTGCCAAAGTTTTGTCTGTCAGTATATATTAACCTTACTTATTTTGCTTTTTCAGATTGGCTTTTATTTTATTATTAGAATTTCAGCTTACTTTTTCTTTTTCATTGATTTGTTTTCTGTTATTTTTCCATTGTGTTCATCTTGAATTGCTTTCTGTAAATGTGTATTAGGCCAGTATTTCCTCTGGGTATCATTTTGGCCAATCCACAGATTAGATAGGTGCTGCTTTACATATTCATACCTTCTGATCTTTTTTTATAATTTTTTTTTGACAGGCAGAGTTAGTGAGAGAGAGAGACAGAGAGAAAGGTCTTCCTTCTGTTGGTTCACCCCCCAAATGGTTGCTACGGCTGGCGTGCTGCGCTGATCCGAAGCCAGGAGCCAGGTGTAGGGCCCAAGCACTTGGGCCATCCTCCACTGCCCTCCTGGGCCACAGCAGAGAGCTGGACTGGAAGAGGGGCAACTGGGACAGAACCGGCGCCCCAACCGGGACTAGAACCCGGTGTGCTGGCGCCGCAAGGCGGAGGATTAGCCTAGTGAGCTGCGGCACCGGCCATAATTTTCTTTTTGACAGAAATAATTTAGAAGTATTTTGTTTGATTGTAAAATTTCTAGGTTTTTTTTTTTTTAGTGTCCATTCTTGCTATTTTTTCCTAACTATCCATTGTCGTTTCCTGTATTGCATTGTGATTTGTGAATATGGCTTGTGTGGATATTGGTGTTTTTGCAATTTGTTAGACATTTCTGTATGATCTTATATACTGCCAATATGGAGAGTTGTGCAGTTGGCCTTTGAGTAACACAGGTTTGAACTGCAGGTCCCTTTGTATGGGGATTTCTTTTTTGAGACTTGTAACAATTAGAAAAAAGTCATAGACTAACCCTAGAAATATTATAGAATTTAAGAAAAAGGTATGTCATGAATGCATAAAATATATGTAGGTAGTAGTCTGTCACTACCATAAAGCATTCAGAAATCCATTATAAAAAAGTTAAATTTGGGACGGACATTGTGGTGCAGTGGGTTAAGCTGCCGCCACTCGGGACACCATCATTCCATATTGGAGTGCTGGCTTGAGTACTGGTGGCTCTGCCTCTGATCCAGCTCCCTGCTGATGCACCTGGGAAGGCAGTGGATAATACTTGAGCCCTGCTACCCATGTGGGAGGCCAGGATGGAGTTCCTCTTCCTGATTTCAGCCTGGCCCAGACCTAATCATTGCAGCCATTTGGGGAGTAAACCAGTGGGTAGAAGACATCTCTCCTCTGTCTCTATTGCTCCACCTTTCAAATAAATAAATGTATCTTAAACAAGTTAAAAGTTGTGAAAACTTAGGCACACAAGCACATCATACATAGTACCATTCACAATTGAGATGCCATGTTAAATCATAACTGCATAAAGTGAACTCTAGGTACATAACCCTACTATTACTAAAATAATTTCATAGCCACCTCTTATTGAATGTCATACGTGGATTTTTGGCTGCACAAGGGGTTGGTACTTCTGAGGCCTCATTGTTCAAGGGTCATATTTGAAAACAATGTGTTTGACACAGAATTATCAATGAAAACTTGAATGCTTCATAGCTGTTGGTCGTATTATATTGTTGACTGATTTCTGACCACTTGATCTGGCTTTCAGATGGTGATTTTGAGAGGTAATTAAAGATCACTGTGATTGTGATTTTGTCAGTTTCTTCTTGTTCTATGCATTATTTGCTTTGCATTTTATAGCATAAAGATCAGGTGTTTTATCTCCCTGGTGGCTTTTTTTTTTTTAAGATTTATTTATTTACTTGAAAGGCAGAGTTACAGAGAGGCAGAGGTAGAGAGAGAGAGAAAGAGAGGTCTTCCATCCACTGATTCACTCCCCAAATAGCCGCAACAGCAGTAACTGGGCCAATCCCAAGCCAGGAGCCAGCCCCTTTTTCCTGGTCTTCCATGCGAGGGCAGGGGCCCAAGCACTTAGGCCATCTTCTACTGCTTTCCCAGGCCATAGCAGAGAGCTGGATGGGAAGTGGGGCAGCCAGAACTCAAACTGGCACCCCTGTGGGATGCTGGCACTGCAGGCAGAGGCTTAGCCTACTGTGCCACAGTGCTGGCCCCACCTTAAACTTTCTTGCAGGAATCTGAATTTAGAAGATTCCACTGTCATACAGGTTTTTCTAGTCCTGGCACTGATGATGTTCTTATGGTGAGACCTAGAGTTAACCCAGACATGGATCTGTTGTCCTTTAAACCCGCTTACCTATTTACCTCCTGGTTTAACTTTTTAGAGCATCTATATATCAAGTGGCTCACTTCCTGATTAGCAGCTATGGAGGGCGGGAAGCCCTCAGCCATGCTGTTCAGCCTGGGACTGTGAGCAAAGCGTAGGTATTTCTCAACTCAGGAACAAAATACACTCTGAAATGATTTATTTTGAGATAGGGCAGTTTGAGATAGATTTATCCAATTTTGACTCTTGACTAAAACTCTGAAATATAGCTAGTTCCAGTAAGACCACACTGTGCTTTACTGTGTGAGTTGGCGATCAAAACCTGGACTCTGAATAAGACAGCCAGCAAAGGGAGTTGTGTACTGAGAGTTTCTTTCCTGCCGTCTTTCTTGGGATCACCTAGGAGTTGTGAGAAAGAGGTAGGATAAGTGTGTGTCTCACCGAACCATTTCCTGTCCCTGATAAGAATACTTTTTTCTCTTAGATCCATTTCACTGGGCGTGGCTTCCTCAAGCAAAAGTTCCTTTTTCTGAAGAAATAAGAAACTTGATTCTCCCGTATATTTCTGACATGAACTTTGTGCAAGATTTGTGTGAAGATCTTTATGAACTTTTTAAGGTAAATATTTAACACTTTGCTTATTGCAGAAAATGAAGTCTTAGCAGATTTTTCTTCATAGAGCTAACGTGTAATTTACTACTTCTTATATTGCTGCGTGCAGTAGAACCTGACATAACAGAGGAATTAGCAGCTTTACTTTACAAGAGCATAAATTTTAAAGCTACACTTCCTATGAGTATTCCTTGAAGGGAGCTTACATTAACATTTCATGAATTGTCTGCATTTTTACAAACTCTATAAATGAAGTGACATGTTGATGACCTGCTGTGAGTTAATTCCCTTAAACCCATTGGCTTGTTCCTTTCTGGACAAGTTGACGTATAAATAAATAAAAGTGTTCTTACCATTCTCGGGGTACACAAAATGCATCAGGTAGAAATACCCTCTTCATATTGTATTACCCATTAGGAACACTTGCTAATGGCTTTATCTGCTGAATTGAAGAAATTCCATTGTTTTCAAATATTTGTTTCAAAGATCTTGATTTTTGGAATTATAATAATTTTTCTCTGTCCTGTGATAGACTGACAAAGGATTTGACAAAGCCACTTTTGAAAGTCAGATGTCTGTGATGAGGGGTCAGGTAAGTTGCCTGTTGATCTTGTTCATTAAGAAAGAATCTCTTTGAAGCAATCAGCTTTTTTTCTGCTGTGACCCAGAGATGAACTCTCAGTACTGCCTGCTCTGCTTAGCCGGTACAGCCCAGACGATTAGAAGTACAGTTGACATCACTAGTAGCTTTCCTCTTTTGCCTTTTAATTTGGGTATTTTTGACATTGCTGTCTGTTGCTTATTTAACCAATTGGTTCCCCCTGCTATGAGTTTTTGTCCCCATTCCTGATGGGGACCTTTTCTTCTTTTCTACTTTTTCTTCTTCAGATCCATTCCCCTGGACATTTCAATACCAAGCTCTGTTGCCAGGTGTTCTCCCTGGAGAGCGTGTTTGGACTTTGTGAAACCAGTCAGCAGATAACCATGTCAGCAACACTGGGCACTGACTGGGCCGTGAAGGAGCTGCTTGGCTTCCACTCGGCTGTCTTACCCCTCTCCTCCTTGCCTGCTGTGATGAGAGCTGCCAGGTGTTAGCTGAGGTGTGTTGGCGTGGACCTGGGTGACTCAGGGATGACGCGTGCTTCCTCAGCTCCATCAGTAGTATCTAGATTACGAAGGGAAGACGTGAAATAAAAACAAATTAAACTGTAAACTATCTTTCATTTTTAATTTATTTATTTTAAAGTCAACGTTACACAGAGAGAGAATTAGAGGCGGGGGTGGGGGTCTTCCATCCACTGGTTCACTCCTCAGTTGGCCACAACGGCCAGAACTATGCTGATTGGAAGCCAGGACCAGGCACTTCTTCCGGGTCTCCCACATGGGTGCAGGGGCCCAAGGATTTGGGCCATCTTTTAATGTTTTCCCAGGCCATAGCAGAGAGCTGGATCAGAAGTGGAGCAGCCGAGTCTCAAACCAGTGCCCATATGGGATGTTGGCACTGCAGGCTGTGGCCCTACCCGCTACTCCACAGTGCCGGCCCCAGTAAACCATCTTTGAATGACTTATATGTTAGCATTCTGTTTCTAAAATATACACTGAATAGGTAGCTATTTGCTACAATACTTCTGGTAAAGAGAATGAGTCAAGTTTTTGCACTGATTATTGTATTATATAACATTAGCAAATAATTTATAATTAAGGCAGATGATGATTCTTTTTTTTAAAGATTTATTTATTTATTTGAAAGGCAGAGTTACGGAGAGGCAGGGGCAGACAGAGAGAAAGAGATCTATCTGGTTCACTCCCCTGATGGCCTCAATGGCCAAAGCTGCATGGATCCAAAGCCAGGAGCCAGGAGCTTCTTCCAGGTCTCCCATGCGGGTGCAGGGGCCCAAAGACTTGGGCCTTCTTGTACTGCTTTCCCAGGCTGTAGCAGAGAGCTAGATCGCAAGTGGAACAACTGGGACTTGAACTGGCGACCATGTGGAATGCTGGCACTGCAGCTTGTGACTTTACCTGATACGCCGTAGTGTGGGCTCCTGGGAGATAGAATTTATATCTTGGCAAAAGGAGTACCTAACCCAATAACCCAATAAAAGTGAGGAGCAGGCTGGACAGTGGGGTGCGGACGTGCTTTGAGCTGATGAGAGGGGAGCCTGGAGTCCAACCAGGTGGAGTTTTGGTAGTTCAGGTATGAAGGAAGGGATTAGATGGGCAGTGTGATTGCTGTGTAGGCATTACCGCTCCAAAAATGTATTCGAGCTGCATTTTCTGGCATAGATAATTACCCCAACGTTGACCTTTTTTCCTGAAACAAGTCTGCTTGACATAGCAATGTGCTTCATCTTCTGTAATTTTCTAATTCCTGCAGAGATATCTTTGTCTTAAGAATATGATTTAAAATTAATAAATAATAAAAACTGAGATGCCAGCATGTGGTGCAGCAAATTAAACCGCTGACATCCCATATGAGTGCCAGTTGAAATCCTGGCTGTGCCAGTTCAAATCCTGGCTGCTCCACTTCCAAGCCAGCTCCCTGCTAATGATTTAGGCTGACACTCATGTGGGAAACCTGGATGAACTTCCTGGCTCCGGCCTTGCACCTTGCCCAGTCTTGGCTGTTGAGGCCATTTGGGTAGTAAACCAACAGATGGAAGATTTCGGTCTCTCTTTCTCTTTCTTTCTCTTACTCTGCCTTTCAAATAAATAAACAAATGTTGAAAATAATTTAGTAAGCATTAACTATGGATTAGAGTGAGCACAAAGCCCATCTGAGAAGGTAGGAGGAGGTTCCAGTTCTGAGGTCTGTTAGTCTGTTACAGAGATGTACCCATGGCTTTCTGGTCTCTTAGATAAGCTTATTCCTGTCCTGTCTCATTCACAAAACAGCTAAGGTGCTATAAAAAGCCTTATAATAAAATACAAAAAATGACAGGATCAAGATCTGGGGAGAGAAAAAATAAAATCCTGGTATCTTGGTTATATCTTTTAATTTGATTTTGTTTTACTTTCAAAGTTTGATTTGATTTTTAATTTGTAATAGCTAAAAAAGGATAACATATCCTGATGATTGTGTAACTCTGGTTTTAGCTGTTTTTTTAAGCTTATCTTTAAAAATCATGTAATGCTCTGTATTGGTTTTTTTGTTTGTTTTTACACAATATTTTTAAACAGTACCTTTATTTTAGTTTCAGTAGTCATAGTTTGAAATTATTAGTGTATAGTTTGAAATTATTTTCCTTCTAGATATGACATCAAAATAATCTTAACAGATTCATGGAAAATAACTTGGAGTTTTCCATTCAAGGCAACTCCAAATAGGTAGCATATGCACTCCACTCTCCCAGATATTCGCTACCCAGGGCAGCTTAATGTGCTTTATGAATTCTGTTAATATATATCTTCTCTAGTACAGCAATAAACATGTGAAGTTTGATTTAGTCCAACTTCAAATTCCACTAGTAAGGTGACCAATTTGTAATTTTTTTTAACTTTTATTTAATGAATATAAATTTCGGAAGTACAGCTTATGGATTACAATGGCTTTCCCCAACCATAAGTTCCCTCTCACCCGCAACCCTCCTCTATTCTACTCCCTCTCCCCTTCCATTCACATCAAGATTCATTTTCAATTCTCTTTATATACAGAAGATCAATTTAGCATATATTAAGTAGTTTTCAAAAGTTTGCACCCACACAGAAACACAAAGTGTAAAATACTGTTTGAGTACTAGTTATAGCATTAAATCACAATGTATAGCACATTTAGGCAGAGATCCTACATGAGGAGTAAGTACACAGTGACTTCTGTTGTTGACTTAACAAATTGATACTCTTGTTTATGGTATCAGTAATCACCCTAGGCTTTTGTCATGAGTTGCCAAGGCTATGGAAGCCTTTTGAGTTCGCCGACTTTGATCTTATTTAGACAAGGTCATAATCAAAGTGGAAGTTCTCTCCTCCCTTCAGAGAAAGGTGCCTCCTTCTTTGATGACCTGTTCTTTCCACTGGGATCTCACTTGCAGAGATCTTTCGTATAGGGTTTTGTGGGTTTTGTTTTTGTTTTTGTTTTTATTTGCCAGAGTGTCTTGGCTTTCCATGCCTAAAATACTCTCATGGGCTCTTCAGCCAGATCTGAATGCCTTAAGGACTGATTCTGAGGCCAGAATGCTGTTTAGGACATCTGCCATTCTATGAGTCTGCTGTGTATCCCGCTTCCCATGTTGGATCGTTCTCTCCCTTTTTGATTCTATCAGTTAGTATTAGCAGACACTAGTCTTGTTTATGTGATCCCTTTGACTCTTAGTCCTATCATTATGATCAATTGTGAACAGAAATTCATCGCTTGGACTAGTGAGATGGCATTGGTACATGCCACCTTGATGGGATTGAATTGGAATCCCTTGGCACGTTTCTAACTCTACCATTTGGGGCAAGTCCAATTGAACATGTCCCAACTTGTACATCTCCTCCCTCTCTTATTCCCACTCTTATATTCAGGGTAATGTTCTATATTGCAAAGTAAATCAGTATTTGTGAGAAAAAATAAATAAAAATAATAGTATCCTATATTCCAAGCAACAGAATGATCTCAACTGGTGCTTTGAGTCAGAATACTTAGTTATTTGTCCTTTATAAATATCCCTTAAATGTCTCTCCTCTCCTGTTTTGCTTTTTAATGTAATGATTTATGCTTTATACAATCAAGCCGTTTGCCCTAGTTTGTAGTAAGTCTTCAGTTTTATACACATAATCAATGACATGCTCTCATTCTTCCCACACAGATATAGACTCAAACTATTTTGAAGCTATTTCTTTTCAAATTCAGAAGTGGTTTTAACTTCCTGAAAGTTAAAGATAAACCATATTTTGAATTTTATACTAAATAGCAGAAGGTCATAATCAGGTTCAATAAAATTCATCTCATATTCTGTTTGGAACATTGGACCTTAGAATACATTTAACTTACAGAAAACATGAATTGTATTTACTACATGCTTTTTAAAATAGCAGAAATAATAAACTATTTTATGAAGCAAATTTATAAACCAGAAGGTCATTTGCAGATTCAATAATAATTGACGTTAAAGAAAATGAAGCTTGCACTTTAGCACCTCCTGAGTATGTGACCACGTACAGGATATTTTAATGTTTGCTATTCTTCATCCTCACCACAACTCCGCATAGCAGTCTGCATGGCACGTAGATGAAATGCCCAGGGGCAGGTGTTCAGCGCGCAGTGAAGATGGTGTGTAGGATACCCATGCCCCTTGTTGGACTGCCTGGGTTCAAGTCCTGACTCTGCTCTTGATTCCAGCTTTCTGCTGATACCCAGCCTGGGAGGCCACGGTACTTGGGTCCCTGCTACCTTCATGGGAGACCTGAATTGAATTCTTGGTTCCCTCTTTGTTCCCCCACCGCCAGCCCAGGGCCATTTTGAGCGGTTTAGAGAGTGAACCAGCAGATCAGAGTGCTCACGTGCTTTCCAGCCCCTGTTACCTTCCCCCACACCTCTCCAAATAAACTAAGTAAATACATGTTTAGAAAAGAAAAATAAACTTGGCTCAAAGGGTTAACGTGTTGCATCTGTGAGGTGGGAGAATCTATCTAAGCCTGCAGATCTTCAAGATGTAGACAGTTGCCCCTGCTGGAGCCCTTATCTCTCCTCTGGATTTATTAGCATTCTAAGTGGCATCCTTATCTCTTCTCCCACCCCTCTTCCACATTAAGATGAGATTAATCTCTTAAAACAAGTGAGATCATCCTAAACAAGTGATTTAAAACTTCCCTGACTTGTGCATGTGTCCTGGCTGAACCCAGGCTTCTCGCACAGGCCGCAAGGCCTGCACAGTGTATCTCCCGCCGACGCACCTGCCTTTGTCTCTTGCCATTTTGCCCCCTACCCTACCCTTTGGAAGTCTGAACTACTCTCCCTTCCCATTGCCCAGCAGTGCCCTGTGCGTGCTGTCCTCTCCTTGGATAGCTTTCCCCTTTTTATCTGGAGAACAGCTTTCCCTTCAAGCTCCAGCTCCATGTTCCCAGGCGCCTCCTGCCTCCCAGGGTGCTGCAGCACTCCTTGGGAATGTGCTGGTGTTTCATTTTGCTCAGAAGTTTGGTTTTAAATCAGCATATCTAGGTACATGACTACTGAAAACTAGCTTAAAATCAGCCATAAGGTAAAATATATGTGGTTTTATGTATACAGCAAGTCTTACACCCACTGAAATTTGACGACCAGTGGACTAACCTAAAGAAAAGCCACTTCCACCTGCGGAAGTCCTCAGGTTTATGCTATCTGCCTTTGCCATAACTGTGACTTCTCTCTCCAGCTATCACATGTGGCGTCGGTGGAGGATTCTAGGGTTTTCTCTTGCCTGCAGTCTTTTCTCTGTTCTAGGTTTTGTTTTTTTTTTAAATAATTCTCTGTGATTTATTTATTTAGTTTTGAAGATGTATTTATTTGAAAGGCAGAGATACAGAGAAAGAGGGAGAGACAGAGAGAAAGAGATCTTCCATCCACTAATTCACTCCTCAAATAGCTGCAACAGTCAGAGCTGGGCCAGGCTAAAGCCAGGATCCTGGAACTCCTTCCGGGGTCTCCCATGTGGGTGGCAGGGACCTGAGTACTTGAGCCATCCTCCTCTGCCTTCCCAACTCCATTAGCAGGGAGCTGTATGGGAACTGGAGTAGCCAGTACTCAAATGGGATGCCAGAATTCCAGGCGGCGGCTTAATCTGCTGTCCAACAACGCAGGCCCCATCACTGACTTAAACTTAGAGTAGTAGATGCTTTCTCTTTGAGAAGTGAAAAGTGAGCAGTAGGTAGGGGATAGGATCAAATTTTAAAGGGTAGAGATTCCCTTGTAGCTGAAGCATTTAGCATACTGTATTATGGTGTCTGTTCATGTGGCGCTCTGTTTATAGAAGGTGAGTTCTTTAGGGGCTCACGAGGCTTTGCCTTTTTGTTCAGTAGCCTCTCCTCCCAACACAATGAGTGTTTCTGTAGTTAACATGCAGACCTGCCGAGCATCTCCTGAAACCCCAGAGAAATACTAGTGTCAAGATAGTTTTAGGATTGAATAATGTTTGCTTTTATATGACTGTTTGACAATTGCTGATCTTACAGAGTGACGTTAATTTTTTTGTACCTATTTTCCAAATTCTCTTCAACAATCATGTATTGCTTCTGAGTCAGGAAAACATTAAATGTTACTGAAATTGATATATTTAAACTAACATTTTTAGGATAGAATTTTCAAAATCCAAAGAGGAACTAACCAGAACAATTCATTCCTAAGCCATGCTGGAACACACATTTTATTTTCATGGCAAGATAATAATTACCAAATAACTTTCAGAAGTTTTTGAAAAATTTTATGAATGTATTTATTTTCAGTTAATTTTAAAGGCAGAGACAGACTAAGAGTCAGAGATGGAGAACAAGATCCTCCACCTGCTGATTCACTCACCAAATGCTTGCAACAACCAGGGCTGAGCCAAACCAAGGCCAGGAGCGTGGAAAACAATTCTGGTCTCCCGTGTGAGTGGCAGGGACCAAAATACTTGAGCCATTGCCCGCTGCCTCTCAGGGTGCATATCAGCAGGAACTGTGATTGGAAACAGAACCAAGACTCAGCACTCCCACCTGGGATGCAGACATCCCAAGTCACATCTTAACTACTGCTCCAGACACCCATTCTGATTCTTTTTTTCTTGTTAATCAAATACAACCAATATAGAAAAAATTTTAAGAGCTTAAAAGTGACCTCACATCTGTAACTACTGTTGCCGTTAAAGGCTTATTTCCCTGATGTGCAGTTCTTCTTGGATCTAACTCATCTGGTTTATCCCAAAGTATGAGGGGGAAGGCAAGCATTTGGCCTATAGGTAAAGATGCCCACATCCCACCTCAAAGTGCCCGGGTTCAACTGCCAGCTTTGGCTCCTGAATCCAGCTTCCTGTCAATCAGTGCAGACCTTTTGCAACTGTGAGGTGGGAGAATAGGGATGTAGTAGTGCTGGCTTAAGTGGTTGGGCTCCTGCCTCCCATGTGGGAGACCTGGATTGTGTTCCCAGCTTTGGTCCCTGCAGACAAGAAAACAGCCATTATAGGCATTTGCAGATGTGGATGGTAGCCTCCACTACCACCCCATGCCACCAGAAAAAAGGAAAGCTGTTATATTTATTTATTAATATATCTTTATGTTGAAACCTTTATGCTTATCAATATTAACTGATCTTTACAAGAATCCTAGAAATACTTACCATGTATGTATATTTTCTTTTTTTTTTTTTTTTTTTGACAGGCAGAGTGGATAGCGAGAGAGAGAGACAGAGAGAAAGGTCTTCCTTTGCCGTTGGTTCACCCTCCAATGGCCGCCACGGCCGGCGCGCTGCGGCCGGCACACCGCGCTGATCCAAAGGCAGGAGCCAGGTGCTTTTCCTGGTCTCCCATGGGGTGCAGGACCCAAGCACTTGGGCCATCCTCCACTGCCTTCCCGGGCCACAGCAGAGAGCTGGCCTGGAAGAGGGGCAACCGGGAAAGAATCTGGTGCCCTGACCGGGACTAGAACCCGGTGTGCCAGCGCCACTAGGTAGAGGATTAGCCTATTGAGCCACAGCGCTGGCCATAAACTTTCCTCTTAACAGTGATTGCTGCATCCCATAAGTTTTGATATTGTGTTGTCATCTTCATTCGTTTCTAGGAATTTGTTTATTTCCATTTTGATTTCTTCGATGGCCCAGTGTTCCTTCAGGAGCATGTTGTTCAGTCCATGTGTTTGCATATGCTCTAGAGCTTCTGAAGTTGCTAATTTCTAGCTTCACTCTCTTGTGGTCAGGAAAAATACATAGTACAATTTCAGTTTTTTGAATTTGTTGAGACTTGTTTTATGACCTAGCTTGTGGTCTGTCCTAGAGGAAGCTCCATGAAATGATGAAAGGCTGTGTATTCTGCAGCTGTGGGGTGAAATGTTCTGTAGGTATCAATTAAGTCCATTTGACCCATAGTGTAGATCTGCTCTATGGTTTTATTGTTGCTATTTTGTCTAGTTGATCTGTTCCTTGATGGAAGTGGGGTGTTGAAGCCCCCTATTATTATTGTATTGGGTCTATGTCTCCCTTTAGATCCATTAACATTGGTTTTAAATAGCCAGGCACCCTGGCATTGGGTGCATATACGTTTACTATAGTCACATCATCCTGTTGATTGATTCCTTAATCATTACATAATGTCCTTCTTTATCTCTTTTAACAGTTTTTGTGTTAAAGTCTAGTTTGTCTGACATTATGATGGCTACTCCTGCTTCTTTTTGCTCTCCATTAGCGTAGAACATCTTGTTCCATCCTCTCACTTTCAGTCTGGGTGCATCTTTGCTGGTGAGGTGTGTTTCTTGCAGGCAGCAAATAGCTGGGTCTTGGTCCCCATTCTCATTTTCTAACAGAGAAATATTTTCAGTTCATTGACTTCTCCCCCTCCTAAAATTACGCTCTATGAAGGCAAGAATTTTTTTAATTTTTATATTCCCAGAACTTTGAACAAAGAATACAATAAATTTATTTGTTGAATGAATGGACAAGCCAAGTGTTAATGAAAACTGAACTATTCAGACCAAAATCTGTTAGGTTCTATGTCAAATGAATTATGTAGACTACTTCACTTTCTTTGATTTAATTTCTCCTGGACATAGAAGCACTTGAGAATATCTTCAAGTTACCAATTGGCAAAAGTTACTTAATTCTGATATTATATATTTGTGTGTGCATATGTGTGTACACGTATCAACATGTATTTTAATTTGTTTTATTTGAAAGGCAGAGATACAGAGGAGAGAGCTCCAATCCACTCAGTTCTCTCACAAATGACTGTAGTGGCTCTGGGTGGAGAGCCTGGAGCTCAGTCCTGCTCTCTATCTAGGAGGCAGGAACACAATTAGTGGAGCCCTCAGTGCTGTCTTCCAGGGTCTGCATTAGTGGGAAGCCGAAGTGAGGAGCCGGAGGTGGGTATCAAACCCAGGCACTCTGATGTGGCGTGTGTAGGCCAGATGCCTACCCCTACACATATTCTTGGTGGTTAGCCATTACCACGACCTCTGTTGTGATGGTTAAAACTGTAGTGAATACAGGGTTAAAATAATGTCAGTGAAGTGAACTTTTTTTTAATATACGAATTGTTGCAAATCTCCTCTCCACAGATCTTGAACCTCACTCAGGCTTTGAAAGACGGGAAGAGCCCCGTGCAGCTGGTTCAGATGCCTTGCGTGATTGTGGAACGCAGCAGAGGGGGAGGCCAGGGTCGGATCGTTCACCTGAGCGGCTCCTTCACCCAGACTGTCCACTGCAGGAAGCCGTTTTTTTCCTCCTGGTAGCAGATTTAAGAGTAGGACAAACCAACTGGTACTGTTATGTCGTTAGATGTTACAGTAATATAAATCCAATGTTAAGATCTCCAGTTGCCAAAACCTCAAATAATTTAAGTCTTTTTAAAAGGTTGCATTTTGAATGTAATCAAAAGTTTACAGTTTTTTGTCCAAATATTAAATTTCTATTTCAGGGAAAAAGTGATGTATCTCCTAGATTGTATTTTTGCAGAAACTGTATATCTTCTGTTGTTAGTTAAGGTAATTTCATGGTTTACACATCCTGGAATATAGAATTCTCAGTAGAAGAACAAGGTATTTGCTGACTTGGAGTTGAGTAACTTTATATCCTCTTCAAACACTGAGCACTGCTCACGCTCACTCGTCTTACTTACAAAGGCCTGGGAGGGCGCCCAGGTCTGCAGCTGCTCTAAGAGTGGAGTACTTAACTCAGAAAGACGTAAGAATTGCCTTAATTTTAAAAGCTGCTATTTTTACAACTTGAAAGAGAGCCCCTAAAGTGGCCATTATTAGGGACCAGAAAATTATATCCTGATTAAGCAACAGGTGAACTTTTTTTTCCTAACTTCACAGGTTTTTTGAGGAAAGAAAATCTGTCGATGCTGCCCCTTTTCCAAAGAATGGAACACTCAGCTTAGATTTGAGGGGAATAATATGGAATTAAGTAGATCCCTAATATTTTGAAATTTTAAATACTCTTAAAAATTCCCTGGTTTCTGGCATGGGATCAAGTAGTCGATCAATTAGTACTTCAGCATACTGATTCTGTTCAGTTTAGTACTTCAGTTAGTATTGAACTTTAATAAAACATAATATGCCCCAAAATATATATGGTATTATATTTCAGGACCCTGGGTTATAAGTTTCTAAAAAAAAAGTGGTACTTGAAATTAGTAGACTTTTTAAATAATTATAGTCCATTTGAGATTATCAGCCCAGATTAAAGAGGAACAAGACAGCGATAACCATGAAATCACTGATGCTTGACTTTGAGGTTGAACGGTGTACTTTGAGTGTGAGGATGTCTGGCGTTACTGGGACTCGAACCCTGCTCGCTCGGTAAGGGTCTGAATGCAGCTCCGCCCGACGTGAAGACATCACTCCAGGGAAGCAGGTTCTGTGTCCTCACAGGCTCACAGCCAGGAACGTCACCACGCGGACGACACTGGCTGACTGGGGTTTTGGGCCTTTTGTATGTTAAGCTTACTATCTTGTGATTTTGATTTTTTAATGAAGTATTTTTGGGTACAAAGTGTTTTGTGATGGTTAAATTGGGAAGTAAGACAGATCTGTAGTTCTCTCCTCCATCACAGCTTTCTCTTGGTCTTCATGGTGGTGATGAACGAGAGCACTGCGGCCCTAATGGGGGTCATTGGAAGTCTGTGTTCTCCTACCTCTCCCAATCCTCCCATTAGCTCAACTTTGAGATAGTGGGAAATTAACTGGAACCTGAAAATGCAAACTATGGGTACTATTTTTAAATAAATATTGGTATTGAAAATGTGCCTTTAGATAAATGCTAGTAATCAAAGTGTGCCTTTTGAAGATGTGTTCTGAAAGAAAGGTAATGATTCAGTGTGATGTGGGTGTAACTTTCATCAAATAGTTTTTACAGGATTTTGAGAGTTGCTATATTAATTTTTATAACAGAGAGCTACTGTTTTATACCCTAAAATTAAAATAGTGTAAAAATATTTTTACATGTCTGACATGCCAGTAAAGTTGGATTATTTAAGATATGCCTACAAGTCAAGATACACTAGCTGTATTTTGTAAGATGTCATGAACATAATTCTTATTTAAATATTGTATTTTTTCAATAAGTATATTTATATTGACAAACATGGTAGACTAAGGGCAATAAAAATCATTGTCTTAAGGCTAGATTTCTCCCGGATGTATGTATATTGAATATTTAGAACATTTGTGAACACATGTACATTTATAAATGATGCCAGACCATCATTTTCTTAATCATATAATAGTGCTATAGTTTAATTTGTTATAATTCCAACAAAAAAACATTTAAACTGGAGCCTTTCTTTGTAAATAGAAGCATTTTTATTTTAATTATATACTGCCTTATCACCCCCAAAATATGTCAAAAATTGAAAAATGTAGATTTTTTTTGCAGACTTGAAAATAATTTGATTTATGGAAAAAATTTTTAATGTAGAGTACTATGCTGGTATTAAAACCTTGTTCAAAATGATAGTGACAAATGTTCTTGGGTCACATTGTATCTTAAATCCTTTTACAGATACCTGAAGAGACAGGTAGCATCTTAGGTTTTGCAGTCTGCCATCCTTCACCAAGCTGTGTGGGTAAGCACACAGAGTGCGGCAGACTCTTGGTGCCATTCTACGCTTCCAAGCCTCCCTTGCCATTGGTTTGGGGCCATGTGCCTCTGGCCAGTGAGACGTGACTGACTGACAAGTGCACCTTCCAAGTCTGACGCTAAAAGTCCCTGCCACAGTTGACCATTCTCTTGACTTACTGTTTGGCTTCAAACAAAACTCCTGCCAGGCTCAGGAGTTACTGCTGGGAAAGGCTGTCAGGAGGGCCTCCTGCCACGCTGGGCTGAGACGTGAGCAAGATGGAAGTCTTCCTCCAGCCACTGCAATGTCGGGTTTAATTGTTACTGTGGCATGCTTTGTCCTTGGTGGGCATTATGAGGTAAGTAGACAAATATAAATCACTGTAAGATTAAAAAGTCAAGGGCTGGCGCTGTGGCGCAGCAGGTTAAGGCCCTGGCCTGAAGCGCCAACATCCCATATGGGCGCCAGTTCAGGACCCGGCTGCTCCACTTCCAATCCAGCTCTGTGCTATGGCCTGGGGAAGCAGCAGAAGATGGCCCAAGCCCTTGGGCCCCTGCACCCACATGGGAGACCAGGAGGAAGCTCGTGGCTCCTGACTTCAGATGGGCACAGCTCCAGTCGTTGCAGCCAATTGGGGAGTGAATCATCGGATGGAAGACCTCTCTCTCTCTCTCTCTCTCTCTGCCTCTCCTCTCTCTCTCTCCCTCTGCCTCTCCTCTCTCTGTAACTCTGACTTTTAAATAAATAAATCTTTTTTAAAAAAAAGTCGAAAGCCAGTTACAGGAGGCAAGATGGCAGCAGCATGTGAGTTGTTTTTAAAAATCTTGCTGGGTCCTCACAGAGCAATAAGGATAACAAAAAATACAGTGACGCCGTCTTTACTCAGAATATGAGAAATTCGGATTAGAACCCTGAACAGCAACTGCAACACCTGGGACAGCAGCTTGGATGGGCATCAGCTTTGGAGGAACAAGCAGAGAAGGTAAGGGAGATGGAGTGGTCTCAAGACCCAAGAAACCCAGAATTTGCTACCATGTACTCAGCCCCCAGAGGAGGAGCCCCCGTAGTGGCAGGAATCTCAATCCCAGCCAGACAGAGGCGGGGTGGGGGGTGGGGCTCAGCATTCAGGTGGCAAGCCAGCGGAGGGGGTCTCAGAAAGGCGTGAGGGCGCTGGGGCAGCATGGTGTGCAGGTCTCAGAAGTCACCAGCGGAGCACACAGGAGCTGCACTGAGAGAAACTACTGGGAGTAGGACGCACACCAACGGGAGAAGGGCTCGGGGTCACAGCGGGGATTCGGAGCCGATACAGGAGGGACCAAACGAGACAACTGGGGAAGTGCCAGAGAGAAGGCAGCCACAAAGCATGCAATCTACATCGTGTAGAACCACGGGAGAGAGTTCTACATCCAGGATCCTGGCCCACCCCACCTCCTGCATGGCAATCTTTGAAAAATATAGGGGGGAAAATAAGGGAAAACCCATCTCATTTAAACATGACTACATCTAACAATATGTTCTAAGAAACAGATTTACAGGGGCTGGCACCGTGGTGCAGTAGGTTAATCCTCCGCCTGCGGTGCCGGCATCCCATGTGGGCGCGGGTTCTAGTCCCGGCTGCTCCTCTTCCAATCCAGCTCTCTGCTATGGCCTGGGAAAGCAGTAGAAGATGGCCCAAGTCCTTGGGCCCCTGCACCTGCATGGGAGACCAGGAAGAAGCTTGTGGCTCCTGGCTTCGGATCAGCTCAGCTCCAGCCGTTGCAGCCATTTTGGGGGTGAACCAACGGAAGGAAGACCTTTCTCTCTGTCTCTCCCTCTCACTGTCTATAACTCTACCTCTCAAATAAATAAATAAAATCTTTTTAAAAAAAAAAAAGAAATAGAGACTTACAGTCTACATAATGGACCCACAGAAAATGAAGATATCCCAGAAACATCTATGAACCAGGGAAAACGGGCATCCCACACTTTCAAACATGCTTAAGGGACTTCAGAAATGATGGAAGCTAAGAGAGAACAACTTAACATCCAATTTGGAAATGCTGTAAACAAGACGGGCAAGTAACAGAAGGAAATACATTGAGAGCTGACAGAGCTCGATAGAAACATTGGAGTTGAGAGCGCGTTTCAGAAATAAACTAGAAGGAACCCAAGAGCCAGTAGACAGCAAACATATTCACAGAAGTCTGACAGCGAAAACATCACACTGAGTGTGAGAAATCTGAAGTTCTCCGTCCGTATGCATTTTCTGTCACTGCTATAATGACTTACCACAGACTTGGCAGTGTAGGCCAACACAAGTATCTTGTGTTAGAGTTCCTCGGGTTAGAACTCTTGACGCAGGTGTCCTGGAGCTAAAATCCAGTGAGCGGGGCGGCATGCCTCTCGGGAACCCGTGGGACACAGTCCCCTGCTTGCCTCTGCCAGCTTCTTGAGGCCACTCCCTGTCACCTGGGTCCCCCTTGCACCTTCAGAGCCCACGGCAGTGGGCTGTGGTCGTCTGACGTCGTTGTTTGCTTTGATGCTGACTCTTCCTGCCTTGCTCTTCCACTGAGTTTTTAGGATTTGTGATTACATTGGGCCTATGCAGATAATCCTGGATCATCTCCCTGTCTTGATACCTGCTGATTTGCAATGTTCATTCTATCAGTGGGGCTGGCGCTGTGTCTCAGCAGGTTAACCCCCTGGCCTGAAGTGCTGGCATCCCATCTGGGCACCGGTTCTAGTCCCGGCTGCTCCACTTCCAATCGTGCTCTCTGTTATGGTCTGGGAAAGCAGTAGAAGATGGCCCAAGTCCTTGGACCCCCGCACCCATGTAGGAGACCCAGAGAAAGCTCCTGGCTCCTGGCTTTGGATTGGCACAGCTCCAGCTGTTGCATCCAACTGGAGAGTGAACCAGCAGATGGAAGACCTCGCTCGCTCGCTCGCTCGCTCTCTGTGTAACTCTGACTTTCAAATAAATAAATAAATTTTTTTTTTTTAAAATTCTATCTGCAACTTCAGTTCCCTAGATGTAGACATCTTTAGGGATCACTAGTCTGCAATCTTGCTTTCCCCCTTATGTAGGTAATGAGAGAAGATGAGTTCTCCCACTGCTTTTTAAATATATTTTTATATTTAAAGATGTGTTTAATTCTTGGAAAGACAGAGTGACAGACATTCACTACCCAACTGCCCACCACTACCTGGACTGGGCCAGGTCAAAGCTGGGAGACAGGAACTCATCTGGGTCTCCCACATGGGTGGTGGGAACCCAAGTACTTGAGCCATCTTCTGTCGTCTCCTGGGTATATTAGCCAGGAAGCTGGATCAGAACAGACTTAGGTAGAACTCGAACTAGCACTCCGATACGGGATGCAGGTGTCCCAAACAGCAACAACCCATTGCTCCACAATGCCCGTGCCCCTCACTGTTTTTTACCCAGTAAAAAATACTAATACTGTTTTTAGCCAGTATTAGACTGGAGGGCCTTACCATCAGAGGAAGGCAAGAAAGACAAGTAAAAGGAGTAAGGACCAGAAAGGAAGAGAGAAAACCCATTATTTATAGATGATATAGGTATGCATGTAGAAAAATGTAATATGTACAGATCACTGTTAGAATTAATACATGAACTTTTCAAGCTTTGTATGCAAGTAATATTAGTTAGAACATTTTTAAAGGTGCCATTTACAGCAACATCAAAACATCAGGTTCCTGGGAATAAATCCAACTAAAGATGTTGTAAGAGCTCTACATCGAAGTATAAAGGACCGTTAGGGTGGAAAGATTTAAATGAGAAGTCCATCATGCTTATGTGTTGCTAAAAATTAAGACGTCAGTTCTCCCAGGTTTTTTCAAAGATATTTATCTGAAAGGCAGAGAGACAGAGATCTCCCATCTGCTAGTTCACTCTGCAAATGCCTGCAGTACCTGGAACTGGACCAGACCAAAGCTAGGAGCAAGAACTCATTCTGGGTCTCCCATGTAGCTACTGAACCATCATTTGCCATTTTCCAGGGTGCACATTAGCACAAAGCTGGAATTGGAAGTGGAAGGACTTGAACTCAGACACTCCAGCGTGGGATGGCGACATCCCAAGCAGTTGTAGCAAACATGCACCTTCAGTTCTTCTGAATATATAGACTCAACACACAGCCAAAATCCTATCTGAGATTTTTGTAAAATTTGACGAGCTAATTGTAAAATGTGTATGAAAATGTTTTAGCTGGAACAACTGGACAAGAAGAACAAAGATCTCAAAACTTATAAAGCTCTTATACATGTGTAGTGTTGGGGTAAAGATAGACATAGGGGCCGGCACTGTGGCACTGTGGCCGCCTGTTTTGCTGACGTTCCATATGGGTGCCGGTTGGATTCCCAACCACTCCACTTCTGATCCAACTCTCTGCTGGTGGCCTAGGAAAGCAGTGGAAGATGGCCCAAGGACTTGAGTCCCTGCACCTGCGTGGGAAACCCAGAGGAAGCTCCTGTTGGCTTTGGAATGGCTTAACTCCGACCATTATGGTCATTTGGGAAGTGAATCATCAGATGGAAGACTCTCTCTGCCTCTGCCTCTGCCTCTGCTTCTCTGTAACTCTACCTTTCAAATAAAAAAATATTTTTTTAAAAAAGAATAAAGCACCACACATACAGTAAACTGATTCTCAACAGGGTGCCAAAACAACTCAATAAGAAAAGGTAGTAGGCAGGCGCCGTGGCTCAATAGGCTAATCCTCTGCCTTGCGGTGCCCGCACACCAGGTTCTAGTCCCGGTTGGGGCGCTGGATTCTGTCCTGGTTGCTCCTCTTCCTGGCCAGCTCTCTGCTGTGGCCAGGGAGTGCAGTGGAGGATGGCCCAAGTACTTGGGCCCTGCACCCCATGGGAGACCAGAAGCACCTGGCTCCTGGTTTCAGAT